CAACACAGACAAACAACCATTCACACACACACAGGCCAATATTAACCTAACAGTCATGTTTTTAGATTATGGAAGAAAGCCAGAGTACATGAAGAGAAACCATGCATGCAAAGTGAGAACATGCACACTCCATGCAGAAAGGCCAGGAATAAAACCCAGTACCTTCTAGCTGCAAAGCAGCAGTGCTACCCACTGAGCTACTGGGCAGCCCTCTAACTTCACCGTACTTTTCAAATATAGAATAACAAATTTACAACCCTCTGAAACTGAGTTTCAATATTCATTACAGAAATATACTCGTATGTAAGGTCAAGAATATTTAACTTACACAAACATGCCCAAAACAACTTCTGGGTGAGGGTCAGAACAGAAACAGCCACTTAAACTCTGAGCCACAAAAAAAGAAAGTTATTCAAATGTACTGAACAGCAGAAGCTCTCGGTTATACATGCAAACTCCATGCAAAGAATGTTTTACAATTGTGGTGTTAAAATAGGGGGATAAGTGTCCTGAAGAAAGCAACTTAGAAAAGGTTATAAGAGTTAGATAAGCATGACGACTGTTCAAGCTGCAGCCCCTTTGGACCACTGTCACCCAGTGGTAAAGTGCAGCCTAGTGGGTAAGGCACTGTGCTTGGAATCCAGAGGTTCTGAGTTCAAGCCCCGCTCCCGCAGACTGACACTCTGGCTCCCTGAGCAAAGACCCTCAACCCCACACTGCACCCTGGGTGCTGCACAATGGCAGCCCAAGGTGATGGGTTAAACACACAGAGTTAATTTCATTGCTCTGTACTTTTGACAGTGTTATGAAAATAAAAGCTGGAAAAAATTATTTCAGTAAAACAGTTTTTTTTTTATATTAGCAGAGCACTAATAATGCTGAGAGTTAATTAGAGATAGTATATTCATTCGGTACTGTTAAGTATACCATTCATAATCTGGAAGGGTCATTATATTTTATATAAAACTGGTTTTGTGCTTACTTTTAGAATGAAAAATATTTTATTTAAAAGGAGCATAAACATTAAAAAAGAAAGAAATTATTTTTTATAATATCTATTCTCCCTCCTAGAGATATTAGTAAGAGACAGGCCAGGTCTTTAGACTACTCAAGAGTGGGGGGAAATTTGACTCATAAAGAGCTTTAAATAAATCAAAACTATCTGCGTCACACCTGCGACAAGCTCACTGCCACACACTGCTTTATACCTCTCAGGTCTCAACTGTTTTATTTTATGAACACCTATTTTAATTGGAAGAGACAAAGAGAAGAGACTAAGATAAAGAGGGAAAACTTACATTTGTTTGCATATTTAATTCATATGCAGAAATCCTTGTATATAAATTAAACACATCCAGCACTATAACAGTATGTCATCAGCATATAATAAGACTTTATTTTTAATATCACTTCTTACTGTTAATTTTATATTAGCATTATTACAAAGGACTTTGGCCAGGGATTATATTCAATTGTTTGAGACACACAAGCTACAAGTAACAAATAGAGGATTTCAATCCAATGAATACATTTCTATTTCAAAGAAAAAAACTGTATAAAAAACTGTAAACTGTATAAAAGGTAATTACACACCGCCTGGTCAAAAGTTTTTTTTTTTTTTTTTTTTTTTTTTTTTTTTTTTAGCATTAAATGCAATCTTTGGAATAATAAATATCTAAATGTCTGAGTGATTTTGAAGGTAACTGACAGTTTTTAATAAATCAAGTCTGATCTTCTCAGATTAACATAGGTATTGTGTTAAGAAAGCATTTTTGCAAGGATTTTACTGTCCACTGCAAAAAATAGAAATCTCAATAAGTTATTTTTTCTTAAAATAAGTGTGTTTTTCCTTGATTTGAGGAGGTAAGTAAGACACTTTGCCAATGGAACAAGACAATTTCCTTTTAAAATAAGAAAAAACTATTTAATCGTCTTATTTCAAGTAAATATTATCTAACTATCTTATTTTAAGAGTAAAAATACTCATTCCATTGGCAAATCATCTTATTTACCTGCTCAAATTAAGGCTAAATATACTTAATTTAAGCCATTTTTTTACTTATTTCTGGATTGTTTTTGCAGTGAGAGCCTTTTATTTATAGATCACAGCTGTGCCTCAAAGTTTGTGTCCTAGGTTCCACCACAGGCTTCACCATCTGCATGTCAGCATTTAACCACAAATGGTCCATGCAGAGCAATGCATGAATCTCATTTAGCATTTAAATTAGCCGACTGATCAGTTATTCAATGTTACCAATGGCAAACAAGAGAGTGGAGAAAAGAAGTGCAGTTAAAATAAAGTGTTGGTGAGTGAGGTTAAGAGTCTGATAAATATGGCTGGTAGCCACAGTAAATAAAACGAAATGTTATTAATGACACCTTCAGAGTCTGATATATGGACTGATCAAGCAGCAGCGTGGAGCTTTTTGCTGAGCGTGATTTCTCAGATTTATAAATTTACTGAATTATTTTGTTCCTAAAAGCTGCTTTGGACACTCGATCCATTCTATGAGATGTAATATGGCTAAAAGTAGTCCTGTTTTGCCTATATTAGCTCATTCTATTCAGGTGTTGCCTAAATAGAATGAGGCGTTCAGGTGTAATACACTAACTGCGACATGAAGCCTCATCCATTTTCCACAAATATTAAATATGAAAATGAATTGTGCTTATCACTTATAAATAGCTATATTCTATGTACATGGATTCTATATGTATAACAGATTGGATATTTAATTTTTTTTTAAAGTTTCCTGATAACCTTTCCTTTTTTTCTACATCAGACTTCTGCACACTGACCTCCTTATGCTTATTGCCTATGATGAACATGTAGTTTCCCTTCCACCAAGTCCATGTCGGACATGTCTTTCAGAGCGAAATTACTGACAGATTCAGTCTTAAGAGCGTGGATCTCTCTTTTTAGTTTCTTAAACCTGAGTTACTCTCAAATATCTCCTCTTATGGAAGAAAAAAAATCTCTGCTTTTCTATATTCCATTGTCTCTTTCTTTTTCGGTTAGTAGACAGTTTTGATCCAGTCTTAGCATTAGGCCTGAGTTTTGCTGAAAGTTTTGTAGGTTGGTCAAAAAAAAAGCTAAGTTAAAAAAAAAATAAATAAAAATTGTGGAGCATCAAGTTCTCACCTTTTAGGGGTGTTTTAAGCACCATGAAAGTCAAAGAGACTAAGTTTAAAGTGTGCAGAGTTGGGAAACATTTCCTGTGGATGCTGTGTCTGCAACCTACGGGTGTGCACAACCAGAGCATCATAGGCTGTAGTTGTGCAAACACAAGTAAGACTGCAAAACTGCTATTACAATAAGAGAACTCCTATATCAGATAGTTATGGTCTTATTCTAATAGCTTATAGTTTGATGTCAGTATTACACAGTGTCATTTTAACTGTACTGTGTCCCCTTTTACTGTACACCACTAGACCTCCAAAAACGCAGCCAATCCATTCCCTTGTTTCTAACCACCATCAACTTCCTGTCCAAATCAGATAAAAATTTTACAGCAAGACTCTAAAAGCCAGAATGCATTGCATAGGACTGGCCTTTGGGGCCCAGAGTGCTTCTGCAAGAAAGTTCTTATAATATTCTGTGAAATATGAGCTCATGTTAAATTCTAGATGCATGCTGGGTTGGTGGACCAAGGGAAGACTTGCTGAGTTGGTGTTAGAACCTTTAATGACTTGCAGGTCTTGTTTCCTTTTTTTGTTTCCTTTTTGCAGTTATGTCATATATTGTGTTCGTCTATCAAATTAGCACCCAGAGAAAATACAAACTCTGTACTTGACTTGTGACTTAAAGTACAAGGCAACACAGTATTGTTTAAGATAGAAAATATATCGTTTTTTTCCCAAGAAAAGCTTTTAGGATGTTTTCTTTGTTACTCTAGGGGGATAAAGGATGTTTTTGTACCTGTTTCCTCTAAATTATCGTGGAGGAAAATTTTTCACATATCTAAAGGAAACCAACAGGACAGGAAGCGTATGAAGGTATTAATAGTTGAAAGCATTCTAACATGTGGTGCTCTTCATTGTGGTCACACAGTTGTCTATCAGTCGCACAACATGAAATTGATTTTCAGGAGCATTTATTCATCTGAACATTTGTTGCTTTAAGAAAATCAATAAACTGAATATTTTAGTATAACTCCACAGATATTGGTCAGTTATTTCCCACAGTATCCTGTAATGTAAAACAGTTGATTTGAACCATTGTGGGTAAAATTAACATTTTTGATTAACAAATTAATTCAAAAGCCTTGAACTTAAAAATCAAATATGTCTTTTATCCTACATTGCCCAGAGGTCTAGTTACATTTGTAGTGTAAAGTCTGGAGCAGTCTGTTGGAATTAAAGGTACGCTCATAGAATGGTTTAGGACTGTGTGCCTTTTATGCATCTCAGATGATGGGATGGTTCCTTTATTCAGTCAATTTCCAATAAACAGATCAGTTTAGTAATCCAGTTTTTATCATCTCAGCCTTACTGTATGTAAAAAAGAAAAAAATAAGGATAATTTTTCCTAATTTTACCAATGAGAGTGTTATTGGTGCTTTTATTAATTCTGGAACAGGCCACTACAACTCCCTAGCATAAGGGTCACCAAGGGTCACCACCCGTTACCAGTCACTTCAAGTCCTCAGCTGTGTTGTTTGTGTGTTTCTCTCCACCACCAGGTGGTGCCCTCTCCACCGCACACCTGCGGTTCGTTGGTTCATTACTGGAGGAGTATTTGAGCTGTGGGCTGTCACTACCTCAACGCCAGAGTGTTTGCCAGTTTTGGGTACTCTAGCAAAGCTGAGATTAGCTGAGTCTAACCTGAGCCTTGTTTCTCTGAGTCTAATGTTGTTTTTGTCTTTGCTCTTCGGCAGGAAGTCTTCCTGTGTAACTGGATACCTGGACCTTCTCCCCCTGGAAGGATTAACTGAGTTCACACTGAGCAGGGGGAAACCTCCACATGATCTGTTCAAGTTTCATGATCCGTTCAAGTTTCCATCGGAAATCCAAGTGACAGTCCGCTCCATTACTCCTCCGAGTCCAACGTATGTCTACCTGTCCGCCACAAAGACTGGATTCAATGATTGACAAGAGCCCCCTCAAACGTGAGTCCCATTCCAGCATTATTCAAGCTGCAGTCTCATTTCCCACGGTCCCTGAACTGATCTCTGTGATCTCCCCTTCAGACTTTCCAGCTCCGGTTCACCAGTTCTCTGAGTCCCAGATCCAACCTCCGTTCACATTGCTACAAATAAACCTGTTAAACTTTTCTCCGTGTTCTGAGTGGTTTCTCTTCATGTGGGTCAGATTCCTTAAACCGATCATGAAACAGATTTAGATTTTATTTTTTAAGCACCCAAATGGTCTGGCATCTATTTACCTTAATGAGCTTTCACATTCACACATCCCCTTTAGAACATGAACAAAGCTCCTAGTTATTCCCACGGTTTGGCTTGTGACCCGGATGAGATGGAGTTTTTTTTCAGCCACTGCTTCTAAACCATATTCTGTAAGGCCTGCCAAAGATTTGAATTATTTATTTGCCACATTTATCCTTTTAAAATAGCTTCTTATTCAATAAAGCATCACCATAAGACTGGTATTTGTTTTTCTATACTTTTTATTTCTTGTTTTATAGCTTTTACTTTTATATTTAATTTAATTCTTTTTTATGAATTTAATATAATTTTGATCCTATTTTATTTACCTTTTAGTTTTTAAAGCCCTTCTTTAATAAACAGAATAAAAATAATAAAACAATAAAAAAAGTTTGCCACTTGAACTGAATGTTTTTATTAGAAGCTAATAGTTATAATTCCCATTATCCTTGTTTGTTGGTTTTTGTATCACTTAATCAGGAAAATTAGCAAACATGACCACATTACCATAACAAGTCCTGTTGAAACATTCTCCCTGCAGCCGTGGCAGTGCTCTCCAAAGCGAGACCAGTAGTGCTTCTTACAGTAGAGATCTCCCTCTTTTTCATAGTACCAGCGGGACAGGATGCAGTCACAATCACGACACCTTTATCAATTAGGAAAACAAAAAGAAAAGAGAACCTTTAGGAATGGTGTATTAGAAAATGTTGTTTTATTATGAGATTGATGAGGAGATTAACATTTAGATAATCAGTCTACATGGCCTGGAAACAGATCCACAAAAACTAGAGTGTATTTTCCATTAAATCATACTAGATTATTTTATTTTACTATTTTAATCTCTCAGGTTTGGCTTTATTGTGCCATTTCCGGACAAAAAGTGGAATCAGAAACATTTGGAACAAACCAAAAAAGAAAACATGTTGAAAGGCTTTGCTTTAAAACTGAAACTCATCCTGGAATCCAGGCTTCAACAGAATGACAGAAAAAAGCTGCTTCCTTATCTCGTCAACGTTACAACCAGGGTGGGAGGCGACTTCCTGTACCGAGCAGTAATCCATGTTTCCGTTCTCCCAACTTTAACAGTAAATGGCATCACAATAGGGAGCTGGGGGCGGGGGGGTATCAGGTCTCCTCCCCGCCACCCCCCACCCCCATTGTGTACAATGTACATAATGAAGTAAATGCCCATTTACAGATTTCTGTTGTTTTGCTTTCTTCTGACCTTTATGTCTGCTGTCATAATAGAAAATTGAATGTCAGGCAGTAGTTTTCTGAGGATGTTATCCATTACCATGGAGAACCAGCTACGTAAAGTTCCAAAAAAGTAAAAAAAAAAAAAAGAATAAAAAGCTACCTAAAGCAACATGGATCATTGTGGCAATATGGATTAGCTGCGACTGACTACATTTGTTACGTCTCAGTTTCCCTTGTTACTGTCAGGGATGTAGAATCAAACTAAACCTGTCTGCCAGCATCATACAGGCTAAAATATCTGACAAAATTGTCGTTATGCCCAGATTTCAAAATATGACAGCAGATCAGAAACAAAGCGAAGCTTTTGAGACTTTCTTTTGCACAAGTGTAGAAAAATTACAATATGCCTTTTCCAGGAGGGGAGCCAACATGTCAACAATTCATCCAGGAGGACACAATACAACCTTAAACAATGTTTAAAACATTGCTGATCTCACTTGCCTCAATGAAAAATAGTGTCATAATTCAATGAAGAACACACTGGGTCAAAATGATACTCGTTATAGAAAAAAATCGGATTTTGGAAAAAGTGTAACTACTGTAAACAGGATGATGGTTTGCTTTGTTGCTCTATGACCCGACTGATTAATCATGATTAATGGAACCATGTGTTGTTCTCAGGACTGCAATGATTCTGACAATGATCTAAAAAACAACAGTAAAGCCTCAAGCAGAACAAAATGAAGGTTTTGCAGTGTTTTAGGTGAAGCCGAAACTTAAAGTCAATTGAGATAAAGTTGCACAAACTGAACTTAAGAGACGTCCAAGTTTTGTCTTTGAGCGCTACTTTCCTGCAACTTTTAGATGCATCCATGTTGTGGTGAGGTAATTTAGCCATTTGATTGTAATGTATCTCAAGATCTGCAGGAGCATAGAGCTCAAGTGGTGGACCTGGTCATCCCTGATCTAGCCACTTCCTTCAAGCTTAATTTAAGCTTATTTAAACTTAAGTTTTCAGAATGGCTGAAGAAAACAGTCTGCACAAAATGTCCAAAATTATTCCACAAAAATTAAAAAACCCATTGCCAATTAGCGGAAAATCTGGCTGGCAGCAGCTGGGATATTAGGTTTTAACAAAGTCAGGATTTCTTATAGATAAGCATATTCAATGAAAAAATAAGATGAATATTGCTTTTTATATTTACTCGATATGTTTTTATGTCATGATAACATTAATCAGATAATTCCAAAGCAGTTCATAAGACAAAAGAAAAGAAAGAGTAGAAATCTATGAGGACTAATAACTTGAAAACTTCACACTGAAACTTCTGGTAATCATTAAAACTCATGAGTCACTGTTGTGGATTGTGTTGCAACTACACTGTCCTGCATTTCACTTTGCTCCTGAAAATATATTGTTGAAACTGTTGATACTTTGAGAAATATTTATCTAAAAAATCAAGTATCTAAATGAATAAAATGAAGCAGCTGTTTATTAGATCTGCCTCTCAGTCGTCACTAAGGAAATAATGAGGTAATAAAAGCTTGACAAAGCTGCATATTTGCCGTTATTGTTAAGTTTGTAAGAGATTGGAAACCTTCCAGCTGCACATCTGCACCTCTTGAACATCTGGCTGGGGGAGAACCCTGCAGTCACCCCTGAGAGATCTTTAAAGACTTCATCCTCTTCATCTTTTGCCTTTACTTCTAAAGTTTCACATTTACCACCGAGTGTCTTACAAGCTTAGATTTTAACCCACATCTTGAGCCTTCGTCTTTTCTCCCAATCACTGTGTCAATATGGGAAATCTAGACTTTAAATCCATTCTGTAATTTTGAGAAAATTAACAGTGGTCAGATGTTAAGAGTTTAGGTGACATACTCTCCTGCTTAGCTTCCTCTTTGTTTTTGTCTGTGGAGACCCACTTCACTTCCTTAAACATTTTTTATATGTGTATATATATATGTATAATAAATACATCGTAATGTTTTCTGGTGTTGGTGGTTGGGGGGATTTCAACATAAGGCATAGTGAATGTTCAATAAATTGAACCCTGCCTATTTGTGGATTGCTTATCTGACTTTTCTCAAGAAGAATGCTTGGAGGATGTAAAATAATCAGAATCAGCTGCCGGATCGCACAGAAAGAAGCATAAACTCCCAAAGCATCCTTTTTTTAAATTGTTATAGCCAACTACTCACATGTAAGGTTGATATGAAAGCACACGCAATATTTAAGCATGCTTTACTTGTGCATCTGTTGGCCGTCACAGTTCAGTAAGAGGAAGTATACATGCAGAAGTTAAACAGCACATCAACTTTTCCTCTCATTCTTTTTTCTCTTCTTTTTTATTTGCATTTTAATCTCTCATAAATAAATAAAATATGAAGTGCTTACCGTCCTTTAATTCCTCTCCGAAACCTTTGGTCTCGCCGAGACATTCTGCTCTCACAATTGACTGAAACCCAGCAGTCATGCACAATCCACCCAGTTGAGCAAGGTCCTTCTTCAAAGCCAATGTTTGTGAGCGAATCAGACACTCACTCTGCTGTGACAGTAGCAGGCGTCGCCCTTTATCTTTCTGCTGCCTTTCTCCATGTGTTTAAAGGCTTCCTGTGCATATGTTCCTTTCTGTGTGAGTTGTTTGTTGTTAGTGTGAGAAAAAAGCCTGACCCTCTGACATCAGCTGGCTGCTGGAAAAAAGGCCTTTCCTAGTTATAGAAGCTTCTCTCCGCCCTCCCTTTCCTGTTCCTTCCAGTATGTAGACCTCAGCAGGGTACGGTTACACTTATCTGCAGGCACATCCAAAAGCAGTAAAGCTAAATTCAGTCTAAAATCTGATCCCTAGATGAGTGTTAATGCATTGAGGTATGGTTTTGTTTTTTTTCACACGTGTTGTGTGAGAGCTTGTGAGTCTTAGTTTTGAAATCAGGCTTGTTCCCATTAGCAAAGGCATAATCTCTTTATAAATGCTCCAATTACTGCACTGTCAAGATCCCAGAGTAAAGCACCCTATTCAACACACAACAAACAAAGAGAGGGAATTAGACAAAGAACAAGAACACAGAGCAGCTCAGGGAAAAAAGAACTGTCCATTGATTATGTTTGGTCTAAAATTGATGTATGTATTGTTAAATGTGACGAAAGAATCTAATAATAAGGGAACAATGATATATACTGGAAGGCGTGCAAGCTCTCCAATATGTTTTTTAAGTCTTAGGCTACAAAGTTATGGATTTAAATTTGAGCAGAGCCTAAAATGATAATCATTTAAAGACATTTGAAGACATTCATTTAAGATTTAAACATTTAAGATTTAACATATTGATACTTTTCAGGGTAGTCCTGTTTCTCTGACTGTGACTGGCTGGATGTGCTGTCTTCATCCTCTGACATGGGAGCTGGCTCAGAGCTCGTATGCTTGGCTGTCTTTCCTGGAACAGGGCCGACTGGAGCTGGTTTACAGTTGCCTCTTGTTTCTATGCTTCTTCCTGTATCTCTGCTTCTGTCTCCTTGAACTCCAGTTGGCCTCGGCAGATGGCCGCTCACACTGAGCCTGGTTCTGCTGGAGGTTTCTTCCTGTTAAAAGGGAGCTTTTCCTCTTCACTGTCAATACAAGCATGCTTAGTGTGAGGGATTGCCCTCAAATCGATGCAATCAACTGGTTTTCTTTAGATAGAAAACTTTGAATCAATTTGACTGGGTGACCTGATGAACTGTAAAGTGCCTTTAGATGACGTGTTGTAAATTGTCGCTATAGAAATAAACTGAACTGAATTGAAACTTGCAGAAAAGGAGAGACAGCTTTAATGACCTGGTCATTAACATCTCAAGGGCCAAAGTTCTTAAACTCTCTATCACTATGGATATTTGTTTTACCTTAGTAATACTCAGAGAAAACATTACAACAAAAATGTGTGAAGGTTTCAATTCAGGCTGGGTTCCACTTTTGCCTGTTTTGAGCTAATCTAGTCAAAATGTCAACGTCAAATTTATTTATATAGCACAGGTATAAAACTGCACCAAAGTGCTTTACAGGAAAGACAACAACATCAATTAACGAAACAGAATGTGAAACACTGCTTCAATTAAAAGCAGAAGAATAAAAATAATTTTTAAGAAGCGATTTAAAATGATCCAGGCTGTGGGCGGATTAAATTTGAAGAGGTAAATGGTTCCACAGAATTTAAGCAACAACAGAGAAGGCGCAATCTCCTCTCCTCTTAAGTCGAGTCTGAGGAACTGTCAGTAATAGTTGATTATTAGAGCGTAGACTTCTTGACACAGACTGGAACTTTAAAAGGTCTCTAAGATAAGGAGGAGCTAATCCATTTAAGACTTTATAAGTTAATAAGAGAATCTTAAAATCTATTCGGTAAAAGACAGGCAGCCAATGTAAAGAGGCCAGTATAGGCCTTCTATGGTCATGCTTCCTGATTCCAGTAAAAAGCCGAGCCGCTGCGTTCTGGATCAATTGAAGTCGCTGCATCTGTGATTTATCCATGCCTCTATATAATGAATTGCAGTAATCAAAGATGGATCCTTAAAAGAAACTAAATATTTCCCTTTGCAGTTTAGAGCATCAATGATATCTGCTAGTTCCAAGTCAAAGCTGAGCTTTGAATAAGTGAATTAATTTACTTTTCCTCTGAGTATTACATACTAGAGAACAGGACAGGGAGTGTAAGTTAGTTAAATAATTTTGTTAATTTGACTTCCCTGTTGTTTATCTAACTTCAAATTCTGAACTTTAATCTTTGGTAAATATAGACTAAAATCAACTCCAAGCAATGGAGTTGGAGGTTATACTAACCCCTAGAACCCTACGGACCCACCGGTGGGTCCAGCTGCTACGTGACCTCGTAATTTTAACAAACCCCCAGTATTGATGTAAAAAACACATTTGGCACAGTTTGGTGACATTTTTGGATAAATGTGCCAGAATGGCCTCTCCGCCTAAGAAATTTCTCACTAATACCATTCTAAAATAAATATGATTCATCTGATTGAGTCCAAATTTGGTATATTTTTACACAACATTTAGATTTAAAAGTCTGTACTACTTTTTTGTGCTATAAATAATATTTTGGTAGTGTTTTGCAATGTTTATTTCAAAGAAAATTTTGGCGAGGTTAAAAAAATGCAAAATATTTTGTATTTTGTCCCTAATATTTCAGGCAGGGTCAAAGCTACAATGGTGCTGACACCAGAAAACCATTCTATGACATCTTACCTTTACAGAGGTACCAAAAGTTTCTTCTTAAATCTAATAGCTGTGAGGCTATAAGTGATTTACTTTTGTGTGTTTTTGTCAGGCAGAAATTTATTTACACCCCCTGAGGGTGTAAGAGGCTAATAATACCATAAAGATCAAAATAAGGATCAATATTATTTTAAGTGCACTTTATATATAAGTATCTTAAAGTTCCACAAACAAAAGTGAATGAATTTTAAAAGCTAGAAATTAAGGTAATGACTAGGGATGCACGATATTGGGATTTTGGCCGATATCAGATATGCCGATATTTTAAAACTCATGTAGCCGATAAAACCGATATCGATACCGATGTTAAAGCTGGATAAAAATAAGTAGTCATTGAAAATAGCAGTTTTGTTATCCATTTCTGACACTTTGAAAAATAATATACTCAAATATATTTTCATATGCTGATATCAAATAGATTTTTAAAAACGCGGTATCAATCTGTTTAACTTTCAAAATCTCGTGAAATTTCATCGCTCTGTTACAAACTCGTGATGTTTTGCAAATTCTTGTGAGATTTTGTTAGTAAAATAGATCGATACCGCGTCAATATATCAACATATAAAAATATGGCAGCATTTCGTGAATTTTCGGGGGATTTCGTAGCATAACGATGACATATAGCAATATTTCATTAGTAAAAGAGATTGATATGGTGTTTTTAAATGGCAATATATCAGCATATGAAGATATTGTGATATTTTAATGTATCAATATTTTTTCCCTCGTCTTTAGAAGTTTTTAAGTCTGTAAAAAAGAAGTTTTTGAGGAAGAAGAAGAAGTAGTATATTTTTTTTTTTAGACTTTAGAAACTCAGAAGCTGATCAAATATCGGGTTAAATATCGGTGGGGTGGTCGATGTCCGATATTCAGTTTTAAGGCCGATACAGGCCGATACTGATAGGGGGCAGATTATATCGTGCATCCCTAGTAATGACTGACTTTAACAGCCAGCTACAACAACTGTAGAAATTTTTGCATCCAAAGATGCACCTGCATTTCAAGCATGCGCATGCAATCAGTTTCACGCTTGATAAATTGTTTGTGAGTAGTAAGGAGTTATATTTGCATATACTGCTCCAATAATTATGGGATTTAGTTAAAAGCACACAGACAAAGCCTTTCTACAGATTTTACACATTCATTGTCTATTACAACCTGGTCTGTTGTTCAGTTTTGCATGTACTATAAAGTTACAATTTTATTTATGCTTGCAAAATATATATTTTTTTAAATTAGGCTCATATGGAAGATGGGAACAAACCATTAAAAGACCTGCATCGAGAATGTTTTAAACTTCTCATGCTATCTTGCAGAAAGATTTTTCTTTTCCGCCTGGGATAACCTCGCTTCTATTTGCAACGCACTCTTAAATAACATGTTCATCCATTTCAGTTCATCCACTTCATGTAATGAGTTCACTTGAAAAAAAATAAAATAAAAAACACCTAACTTTTCTGGTGCACATATAGATCAAGAAAAAGCTGCTTCTGTATTCTTTTTTAGGCCCTTGGTTGAAAAAAATAAAATAAAAATACCACCGCTGATAAAAAAAAATATGAACTGAAACATTACTTTCTTAATATATAACTTTCTCTTCTTCACCTTAGCTGTTTTGTCATTTTACAGATGAATGTCTAATAAATTCCTATAGCTGGAATGAAAACATAAGGAAGCAGAGTAGGGCCACTGAAAAAAACAAAAAAAAGTTAAGTGATTTTTAGATATTATTTCAGGTTAAAATGTTAAAACAAGTCGTAATTCTGACTTTTCTCTCAGAATTTTGACTTTTTTCTCAAAATTCTGACTTTTTTCCCATATTAAACTGAAATCAAATTAAAAATCTGCTTTTTTTTTTTCAGTGGCCCTAATCCTCTTCTGTAAAAACAAAATAAAAAACACGGTATTTAATCAAGTTTTATTGTTCTTCTCTTTAGTTTAGAAAAACAAATGCATTACATTTCCCCAGAAGCAATGCAAACAAAAACAAATGATAGAAAGACAATTAGAGGGTTAGAAAGACAATTGCAAGCTTATTTACATTACCATGATTCTTGTCACATCAAAGGGCAATGTAGAAAAAACAAATAACTATTCTAATTAAGCTATCAGGCATGTTTGAAGCCCTTCAAAACACCCATTAATAATATTTTAAAAAACGAAACACATAAAACAGAAGACTAAATAAGTGTTTTGCTATAATTTAAAAGCTCTAGCAAAGATGAGCATTTCCTTTTTTTCAACAGTGATTGTAAAGCTACAAAACATTATTAAAAAAGCAATCAAAACATTTTACATTATATTTCATATTGGTTAGACGATAGCAATTTCAACCTGGAAAAAACTCAACACTGTACTCACAAAACAACATCCTTACAGCACAGATAAAAATACATTAACTAGAATTTTACAGTAAAAATTCTTTGTTATTTGGCTTTAAGCTGCAGATCCTGAGGTCTGAGTACAGTGACATGAACAAAAGCTCTTCAAGGATTATAAGATTAGGCTAAACAAACAACCATTAAAGCTGTCGTCCAACCTTAAGAAAAATATATAAAATAATAGCTGTCTGACTTTCAATGAAAAAGCTAAAAAAAATGTGACTGCATGTAAAAATGTGAAACCACAGATAAATTCAGGGTAAATGTATTTAGGCAATTTTATTGAAAAGCATCTTTTAACAGTGAGTCAGCATGCAGACAGGTCTGAAGGAGCTACCCTGAGGGACTCCTTGGCATCAGTCTCAGCCCAGAAGATTCGTTATGATTCTCGCAAAGTATTGCAGGTAATATTCAACACAGCATCCAGGAAAACATTGTAAAAAAGCAACAGCTCAGCCCTCTTTGGGATTTTCAACTTGTTTGTTTTAATCCACTGAGAGGTTTTTAGGAAAGTGTTTTATAAAATACTCAGGATAACAATTACTGTTTTCATTGCACTGGTTTAAATGTTTAGACACTTGACATTCCTCTGTTCTCCCGCTGCTGTTCTATTTTTGTAGAATTATAATTATCCAATCAAACTAAAATTATTTCATTGCTAAATAATAATAAAAAAAACTAATCTAGTGCATTTTTAAAAATTTACAATAGAAGTATTTTCTTTTCTTTTATATTGTGGTCCCATGAGATCGGGAACTACTTCTAAAAATGAAATGCAATGAAAAACATAGTTTTAGGAATGTATTAAGGCCTTAGGTTTTAAGTTAGGAAGACATTCACAAGCTGTAATCTTGCTGTAGCACCACTGTTGTTTCAATGAGGTCACTTCCTTTCTTTCGGTGTTTCACTTCCTCCTTCGACCACAGTAGTCACCCTGACAGCCTCCACCTAGTTTCAGGAACAAAGACAGTTACTCTCTAGCTGACATTCAAACACAGCACCTATATAGTAAGAGGGAATAAACACAGTCATCCTGGGCATTTTAGTGTTTATCATTATAGAAGCTACATATTACGTTTGCTTATTTTCATAGGAAACAAATTTTAAAATATTTTTTTCTTTTAGTTTTTTTTTTTTTTAGCTGATTAATACATTTTAAAATATCTACCTACATTGCTGGGACTTTTAATTCAACTGTATTTAATTGGGTTTAACAGTTTGATGTTCACTTTCTGGCCACTTCATTAGTTTCATCTGTTCTATTAATTATAACAGAAGAGAAATCAACTGATAACAATGTAGATATTAAATGCATTTAAAACTCTTGATTTGGTAAAGGTGACCTGTTAAAGGTGGAGCCGAGTCTCGTAATAGATTAGTAGTGGGGTGGTTGATATCAGTCGAGTTTTTAGTTTTTGGAAACTATGGATTTGCTTTGATTTTAACACACAACCAATTATAAAAGATATTCAGCAATCTGTAGTTGTGTAGCTGAAAACGTCTCGTTTATGTCAGATTTCAGAGGAGACCCCTAAAGAGAGTTAGTTTCAGCAGGGGCATGTACTATAACTCTTAAATTGAACTCCAGATGTTCACTTCACTGAGAGTGAAGGAGCGGCCATGTTTCAATTGTTGTATGGACCTAAATCTGTAAGCCAGGGGTCTTCAACATTTTCCAGGCCAAGGACCCCCAAACTGATGGCGAAATGGAGCTGGGACCCCCTAATTATATATAGTATGAAATTGTGTTATATCAAACTGGTCCTATAGTCACTCTATTACAGATGCAGTAATGTAACAAAAGTAATTTCGCCCTGGGATTATTAAAGTATTTCTGATTCGTATTCCTGGTTGATGGGACAGGTGTTGTGAATGAAACGGTGCCCAGCTGGAAAGAGCTCCTGTGTGTCACTGAATGTGTGCATTTATCTGTTTACTACAGTGTGTGCAGTTAATATTTAACTGTGTGTTGAATTCATGTTAATGTGTATTTAAAGACATTTCAACTAGTGGAAAAAATTGCAGGGGGGAATATAAAAAAAAATAAAATCAACCAAAACTTTTGCAACCCCCATGCAGTACCTCTGTAGAGCCCCTAGGGTTTGCGGACCCCCTGTGGAAGACATCCGCTCTAAGGGACGTTTCCATAACCTTGCGGAAGCCGTTATGCAAATATAGGGCATTTCTAAAGGGGCTAAAAGGAGGTCCAACCAGTTGTAAAACGGTGTATCTAACAGAGTGGCAAGAAAGTGAATGAAGCAATGTTATTAAAAGGTTAAATAATTTGTCTGATTGTGGTTACCTCTGTAGCCTCCAGCTCCAAGGAAGGCCTGCATGGCAGCATATTTGGCTGCTTTCTGTGCTTTAGCTGAAAAATGAAAAATGTAAACAATGTTTAGTTTTTTTCAAATGAGCTCTGATGGTTTTGTTTTCCAGTCACTGTTAATGTTACATTTTAAAGATTAATTGTCTATAATTGTTTGAATTAAAGATGTTGTATTGCAGAGATGGCAAAAGTACTCACTTTCCGTACTTGAGTAAAAGTACAGATACTTATGTTAAAAAATACTCTGGTAAAAGTGGAAGTACTGATTAAAATTCTTTACTCAAGTAAAAGTAACAAAGTACAGGCTTGTAAATTTACTTAAAGTATAAAAGTAAAAGTAGAAACCACTTTTTTCATGCCGTTGCCTACATTTTAAATGGATGTCTGCCAATAGGACTAGATCTCCGTTGTGTTCATTTTCAATCATCTCGTCGTCCATGCTACTATGCTAACGCCACCGCCACCAAGCTGCAATGATTTGCCGCCAATGAATACCGCCGAATCTGTCGATTCATCTTGTAGTGGTGCGTCAAATGCAACGTAGATTCCCATCCAATTAGACTGAATTTGGTGTTGATGACGTGAAAAATAATAATGGTAACTCCATTGAAATGATTCAAAACTAAAGTAACGAGCCAATTTTTTAAAATGTAAGGAGTAGAAAGTACAGATATTTGTGTAAAAATGTAAGGAGTAGAAGTAAAAAGTCGCCATAAAAATAAGTAGTAAAGTAAAGTAAAAATATCAGAAAAATCTACTTGAGTACAGTAACAAAGTACAATCTCTGTTGTATTGTATTATATGTTATACAGATGTGTTTCTGTTAATGGTGATTTGCACTTTATAGTAGTGAAGCCAAAAATTGAGTTTTTCTTACATTTTTGTCCAGTCCTTGCATATCCTAGGGAACAAGAGTGGGATAATTAAGTCAAGATAGGCACTGCTAACATCAGTGACATCATGGTTAACATTACACAAACAGCAGCTTTAACATTGAAACAATCGGCATATTTCTTCTTACTAATGCATGTAACATGGTTAAGGTTATTTTACCTGGGTAGCCACCTCCTGCCCCAGCACCATATCCAGGCCCAGTGCCCCCTCCTGGTATAACACATACATTGAAAATGAAGACACATTTTTCCTTAACTTGGACAGTATTTTTCTCATTCACCATGATCGGACTCCAAATGTGTTATTAATGCCTGTTAATACAATATGAATAAAAACTAATTGTGTGTTCTTTAAAAAAAAAAATGTCTGAAGGACCAGCACACTGTTAGATTATACTGCACTTGTAAAGGGCCTTAATACTGTGCATCTAGACTCCAAACCAAAGCACTAAATTTTCTGGAGCAATTTCAGTGATTAAATGTCAACATTTACAAGGTTGATTTGACTTAATATTTTAAGGGGCATAGCTCATGGTATATGAATTTTCAAAAGTTTCACTAACAGCTGACTCTGCATGCAAAGATTTTTCTGAAACATTATTAGGCTGTGCTAGCGTTTAATTTGTTATTATTTAATATTACATAGAAAATAACACAGACAAATAGATGGACAGACAAAGACATTTTTGTCACAGTTGTCACACTACTCCAATGTACTCGAAATCTGATTTATATTACGGTTCATCAACAATTCATTTACATTAGAAATAGCATTTTAATGCATTGAATTTGCATTAATTTCAATGAAAAGGTTTTAGCCTTTGTGTCTTTTTTTATTTAATGAACCTATATGCTTTATACCTGTTTTTGTCCCTGAGTGTGGCATGAACTGTCATTTTCCTTTTCTTTAAAGCCGTAGGGAATTGCCCAGTTGGTGCTCAACTTTATACGAGTGAATAAGTGAATGTGATTGGGTTATGAAGAGGGCGGGGTTGTTGTGGTGGAAGGTTCACAAGCAAGTTTGATTGAGGCCAGTTTTTTCCAAGCATCTTGCTAACAATTTAGTTAGCAATTTAGTGCTAGTATTGCCAATGGGAAATTACATTGGGACCAAGCAGCAGTAAAATGGTGACTTATACATTTTTATTTAGAAGAAGAAAGTGGGGACAAAGATATTGTGGAAGAGGAAGCCAGGGCGGCAGAAGCTTGGTTTGGTGTAGAAGGCTTACAGCCGTACATGTTTGAGCCCTTGCCTCGCAACGCTGCCAGTTCTGTTAGCTCTACGCCTGCTGAAGACACAGACGTCCATCCCCGTGAACACTGGGAAGGAACTCAATGGTTAAGTAAATTATTCTTATTTCTTATTTCAACCGTTGCGTATATTAGCTGCGACATATGAATCAAGATGCTATGACCGAAATAATTTGATTAACAGATGACCGTTGATATATGATTGGCCGAATTTAGGTGTACAGACTGAAGTATAACTAACCAGCCTTCATAAGATAACGGAAAAAAAACACAGATTTTAAGACAGGATTTCTTTTTAAATAGAAAATTTTCAAATTTTGGAACTATATAGTCTAATAAAGAGAACATTTATTTACATGTTTAAGCCAGAATGATTTGACATTTAAATATGACTTCGATATGACTTTAATGCTCTGATGGGACGCTCTGGGGACGATTCACTAGAACTTAGCATTGCTGTAGATCTTTTTTACTTTTATTTTTATGAATATTGCTTAGTTTTCTATAACACTGCGTTGTCTTTTACCACAAGACATTTCAGAGTAGGTTGGCTCTATTATATTACTGTGTTAAATGTCAGCTTCTTTCGGATAGTTCCCACAAAAGGCCCACTTGTCTGTTTACACCAATTTGTTGCATCTGGAATTGTACTGGAATTCTATTTAGGCTCAAAAAGTTCCATCTAAACACAAGCGGGACAGGAGGTTGATGTATTTAACCTTATTTCATCCCGATTAGTTTGTTTTTGGTCTTTTTGTATACTGTAGACATATAACATGAATATGCACCTTTATAGCACATGTTAAAGAGTATATGTAAACAATGTTTAGACTTGACTTTCTGTACTCTCTGTTAGAGATTTGTACTATGACCTTCTTATATAGTAATATAATTAATGAATAGTACACTGCATGTATTAGGTCAAGATCAACATCATTTGAAAAAAATATCTAAACCTTTTTAATTTTCTGTTGTTCTTTTTTAATGAAAGACATTATAGACTTTTACCCTGTCCATATCCAGTTCCACCCAAATAGGAACCATACGCAGATTTAGGTGGCTTTCTTGATCCAAGTGATTGCCCACCAGGTTGGAAACCTCCTGTCACGCTTCCAGCCCCTCCAGGCCCAAAACCACCAGCACCAGTTCCTCCAGGACCAAAACCACCAGTTCCGGTGCCTCCTGGAACAAAGCTTCCAGTTCCAGTTCCTCCTGGACCAAAGCCAGTAGATCCAGCACCTCCAGTGGCTACAGAAGGGCCTGTCCCAGTTCCGCCAGGGCCAAATCCTCCAGGACCAGCTCCTCCTGTACCTCCTGTGATGACAAAGACTGCTTTAGAGATATAAATATAGATATGAGCAACTTATTATGGATTAAAATAAATTAGATTACCTGCTCCATAACCAGCTCCTCCGTAACCTAGACATGTAAAGATGAAAGGTATTTTGTCAATTTTTGACAGTATTCTATGACCAATTATGTTGTTATGCAGCTCATTGTCAGCTGCATTAGAATACCTGGCCATGATCCCTACATACCTGATTTAGAAGGTTTCCTTTTTCCAAATCCTTGTCCACCTGGTCCAAACCCAGTTGCAGTCCCAACACCACCTGGTCTGAAACCTCCGGGTCCTGTTCCAGCTCCACCTGGTCCGAAACCTCCAGTTCCAGTTCCAGTGCCACCTGGTCTGAAACCTCCAGGTCCTGTTCCTGCTCCACCTGGTATGAATCCTCCAGTTCCTGTGCCCGCGCCTCCTGGTCCAAAGCCTCCAGTTCCAGTGCCAGCGCCTCCTGGTCCAAAGCCTCCAGCTCCTGTGCCAGCGCCTCCTGGTCCAAAGCCTCCAGTTCCTGTGCCAGCGCCTCCTGGTCCAAAGCCTCCAGTTCCTGTGCCAGCGCCTCCTGGTCCAAAGCCTCCAGTTCCTGTGCCAGCGCCTCCTGGTCCAAAGCCTCCAGTTCCTGTGCCAGCGCCTCCTGGTCCAAAGCCTCCAGGTCCTGTTCCAGTTCCACCTGGTAAGAAACCTCCAGGCCCTGTTCCAGCTCCAGCTGGTCCGAAACCTCCAGTTCCAGTACCAGTGCCACCTGGTCTGAAACCTCCAGTTCCAAGGCCAACACCACCTGGTCCAAAGCCCCCAGTTCCTATGCCAGCTCCAGATTTAGAAGGCTTTCTTTTCCCTAAACTCTGGCTCCCTGGTCCCACACCTCCAGGTCCTGTGCCAGCACCTCCTGGTCCAAAGCCTCCAGTTCCCTGGCCAGCACCCCCTGGTCCAAAGCCTCCAGTTCCTGTGCCGGCACCTCCTGGTCCAAAGCCTCCAGTTCCCTGGCCAGCACCTCCTGGTCCAAAGCCTCCAGTTCCTGTTCCAGCTCCACCTGGTCCAAAACCTCCGGGTCCTGTGCCAGCTCCTCCAGGTCCAAAGCTTCCAGGTCCTGTTCCAGCACCTCCAGGTCCAAAACCTCCAGTACCAGTGCCACCTGGTCTGAATCCTCCAGTTCCAAGGCCAACACCACCTGGTCTAAAGCCTCCAGTTCCTATGCCAGCTCCAGATTTATAAGGCTTCCTTTTGCCTAAACTTTGGCTCCCTGGTCCCACGCCTCCAGTTCCTGTGCCAGCACCTCCTGGTCCAAAGCCTCCAGTTCCCTGGCCAGCACCTCCTGGTCCAAAGCCTCCGATTCCTGTGCCAGCACCTCCTGGTCCAAAGCCTCCAGTTCCTGTGCCAGCACCTCCTGGTCCAAAGCCTCCAGTTCCCTGGCCAGCACCTCCTGGTCCAAAGCCTCCGGTTCCTGTGCCAGCACCTCCTGGTCCAAAGCCTCCAGTTCCCTGGCCAGCACCTCCTGGTCCAAAGCCTCCAGTTCCTGTGCCAGCACCTCCTGGTCCAAAGCCTCCAGTTCCCTGGCCAGCACCTCCTGGTCCAAAGCCTCCAGTTCCTGTGCCAGCACCTCCTGGTCCAAAGCCGCCAGTTCCTGTGCCAGTGCCTCCTGGTCCAAAGCCTCCAGTTCCTGTACCAGCACCTCCTGGTCCAAAGCCTCTACTTCCTGTGCCAGCACCACCTGGTCCAAAGCCTCCAGGTCCTGTGCCAGCTCCAGATTTAAAGGGCTTTCTTTTTCCCAAAGTCTGGCTTCCTGGTCCAATGCCTCCAGTTCCTGTGCCAGTACCACCTGGTCCAAAACCTCTCGTTCCAGTCCCAGCACCACCTGGTCCAAAACCTCCGGTTGCAGCACCACCTGGTCCAAAGCCTCCTGTTCCTGTGCCGGCTCCACCTGGTCCGAAGCCTCCAGTTCCAGTGCCACCAGGTCCGAAGCCTCCAGTTCCAGTGCCACCTGGTCCAAAGCCTCCGGTTCCTGTGCCGGCTCCACCTGGTGAGACTCCTCCAGGCCCAACAACACCAGGTCCGTATCTGCCAGGTCCAGTACCTGTAGTAACATAGTTGAATAGATTAATATGCACAGAAGCCAAAGACACAATGACACAGGTCCAGAGCAGTTTTCATTATTATTAATATTAGTATTCATTTAGTGTTACCTTTTGTTTTCTTTTTATATCTTTTAAAGGTTATTTATTTTGTTGGAAAGAAATCTTTAGACATATGTATTTATGAAATTCTTAGAACACTTATTACACTAAGAGAAGCAAGGTGACACCATATGCAACCGGCACATTTACCAAAATATAAATTAGTAGGCAATGCGAGTGAAGTGTTTTGCCCAAAGGCACAACAACTCGGATGGAAGTAGAATTTTAACTGGCAACCCTCCAGCTGCAGGGCAAATTTTTGCCCCCTACTCCTACATCTCCCCAAAACTATCTCCGTTATTGATGTTGTTAGCACATTTGTTGGTGAAATCTACTTAGACCTCCCAAATTTCAGAACTAGTCCGACCTTTAGCGGCTCCCCCTAGAGAGAAAACTTGAGCTTAAAACTTTGTCTCAACAATGGCTCTCTACTTAAAAGCTTACCTTGCTTTTTAGAAGTCCCACACAGCTCTGTTCTTGGATAGTCTTATTTGCTCCTTACATTCATTTTCTACATTAAATTATATTACATCACTCACACCAGATGTTAAATGATTATTTATATACATGCAAAAATGTCTAAGAAGTATCTTTTATCCTTACATCTGCTTTGAATTCAACTAAGTGTATGCTTTTTAAATGTTGTCTGTTGAAAACAGAGAAAAACTAAATATGTTGTTTTTCAGAACAAAACTTGGACTTGATCTCATACTTATTTAATATACCGGTATAAGATTATATTGAATAGTTCGTTTTGCTTGGTTTTATCACTATGATACATTTCCTGTGTTTGGGAAATTATCTATATATATGTATGTATTTATTTTGGCCTGTGGTGGTTTTGCCTCAGATCTCTTCCTTCTTTTAACTGGAATATGATGGTGCTGGTAGAATTAGGGTTTAGCCAAACCCTTTATGTTACCTTGGTCTGACCATAGCTCTGTTGAGTGACTCTTTAAAAGTTTATAATATTATATAGAGAATCTTTATTATAATGTGACCCCAGCTGACATTTAGCTTATTTTATGTCTTCTTTTTTGTATGGCTTTAATTGTTTGTTTGTTTCTTTTTTTTTTTTATTATTGATACTGTAACTTTCTGCTTGAACTGTCTTCAAGTGTATAAAAGCCTGTAAGTTTTGTTTGTGAAAAAAATATAATAGAAAAAAAAATAGAAAAAAATCAATCATGCTTCCGATATAAACTGGGTAATGACAAGACCAAACAAAGCTCTGCAAGAGGGAACACTCACTTGATTGGTCATCATTAATGGAGTACTTCAGTCTGCAAAGCAGATACACTCTGCCAATCCTAACTAGCACAACCCATTAGATAAAAATCTGCCCCCTCATTTATATATAAGAACTTGAAATAGAAGGAGCTTAAAATGACAAAATAAAAGTCACCAAATAGGTGAAGTAGCTTTAAAGAATAAAAGTGTCACACAATAATACTCTATTATGAACAAAATAAATGGATAAATTATGCAGTTAATAAATCTTTGAATAAATGAATACATTAAAATATAATAAAAATATATTAACATATTTATTTTGTTTTATTTCATTGGGATATTTATGCATTTAACGTAATATTTATCACAATTTAACAATATCAGTATTTATTTATTTAATTTTGAATGAAACTGCTTCCCATAGTAAATGGAGCTCTAAAAATTTCTATGAAAAAAAGATACACACACAAAAAAACTTTTCAATGTATTATAATATGGTAAATTAGTAATTTCAAATTTTCTTCATTTCATATGTGCTTGTTTGCCTTGTTTTTAAAACTGAGTGTTGCAAATAGCATCTCAATAAGGGCCAGTACTACAGGTGACTGTGAAATACAAAGAGAGAAACAAAACCTGGACAACCTGCCTTGTTGGTAAATGGTTGTAAATTTTGGGAAGGTTTCTATCTTTATGGCTCAGTCAGAGACAATCTGAAGGTAAATCAGCGCTGTGAACACTTTGGTTTTGGTATATTTCTTTAATTTTTACATCTTTTTTACTCAAGCATTGTTGTTTTTTTTGGCTTCAGTTTTCAATAAAAGCTGGATTTTATTTGCTTTCCCTTTGAAATTGTTGTACCATCAACCAATAAGTTATGTTTATTTTATTGGTTAAATCTGGCACATTTAGTTTTATTACTAAAAAATTGTCATGGTTCCTATTTAACTGAATGAAGAAATGAATAATAAATACCTTGGCCATATCCAGCTCCACCCAGTGATGATCCATAGCCTGTTCAGAGTTGCATGTCATGAAATGCTTCACAGCTAGTTAAATAAATAAGTCTCATTAGCATTAATATATTTATTATTCTACCTGTTTTTGGTGGTTTTCTGGTTCCTAGTCCTTGACCTCCAGCAGAATAAACACCAGGAATAGACCCTGCTCCACCAGGTCCAAAGCTGCCTGGCCCAGTGCCAACACCACCTGGACCAAAAGTGCCTGGTCTGTTTCCAGCCCCTCCTAGTCCTGTGCTGGCAGCGCCTGGTCCAAATCCAGCTTGACCAGTACCACTGGGTCCGTAACCACCTCCAGGGAGCGAGCTTCCAGGTCCAACACCAGGACCATAGCTGCCGGGTCCAACTCCAGCTCCATAACCTAGAAAGAAATACTGTTCAGTTCAAGGTTCCTTCATCTGTGTTTAAACTGCATCTATTTAATGCTGTCATACTTTTAGAGAGTTTGCCAGTTCCAGAACTGGTGCCATATCTAGAACCTGCTTAACACAAATTACAGACAGGTTCTCTGTTTATCTAAACGCACTGAACTTTTATTTTTTATAGCTTTGAATCTACCATCAGGTCCTATGCCGCCACCATATCCTCCCGGTCCAACAGTGACTCTACCTGAGCCTGGTGCTACACCTCCTGGACCAGTTCCAAACCCGCCAGGCCCAGTTCCATAACCTCCTTGACCAGCACCATACCCGCCACTACTGGGGTAGCGTTGACCTGAGTGGGAAATAAGGGATATGTTGTGCAGCAGTTCAAGCTACCTCCTAACTTCAGAGTTTAAGTCTACAAACCTCCACCTGGTAGAACCCCAGCTTGATTGTAGCCTGCAAAAGATAATACATGAGATTAATAAGTTTAATGAAACAGACATAAGCTTTGGGTGAATTAAAAACATTTTCTAGAACTAAAACTTGCTGCTCACTTTTTCCAAGCTTTGCAATGCCTGTTCCTACTCCACTAGAACCAACGGCCCCTGGCACCACCCCAGTGCCTCCAGTTCCACCTCCAACTCCACCTGGTTGAACACCTGCACCTCCTGCTAGAGCCCCGTCTTGGAGAAAAAAAGTTCATTATTTTGTTTGGATTTTTGTCATTTGGAATCTAGTCCAATTGTTTATTTTTCTATATCTGAGTAAATCTGGACCTTTAGGTGGTTTCGCTGTTCCTTCGACTGCACCAGCAGATCTCCCTGGTTGGATTCCAATTCCAGTGGCTGGAGTGTCCCCTCTTGGTACTCCTGTTTCTCTGCCTGAGACATTTCCTGCTCCCTCAGCTGCAGTCGGGCTCCCTCCAACTCTTCCTGGTCTTCCTTCACTGCTTTGCCTACCATCACTCTCCCCATCAGGTCCTCCTTCTCCATCTCCCTCGCCTGGCGTGTCACCCCTAGGAACACCTTTTGGACAAACAAAAACATTACCTAATCTTTGAGGCGAAGACCAAACATATTCCAGCAACATTGTCCTTCAAAAATTATCATACTATTTCTCACTTTGTTTGTAACTTTTAACTAGTGTTTTATGGAAAAGACCAACAGATCGTAGTGCATATTTGTATAGCGTGTTAAGTCTTCCTAAGTCCATACTGTGTTAAGACACATTTTAACAACGAATAGACATAAAAGCAATTTTGGGTATGTTTCTATTAGCTTAAAAACCCCAAGAGATAGACAAAGACTCTAGATGTGCTTGGAATCAGTCTGACTGAATAAAAGCTGGCTTTGAACACCACATTTTGCAATGTTATGGATGAATGTTTAGGATTCAGTTACCCAGATTCAGTTACTCCTTAGCATGTTTACAATACTGCCATTGTGGTGGTAAAAAATTCTATATCCTATTAATTCCCTTTTATGTTTTTTATGTGGGTATACAGATTTATGAGTTCTGAGTTGTATTCATTCAACCTCAGAGATGCAAGGCCATCCCTGAGGCTGAATGAATAAAATACAACAAATACTTATTCCCAAGCAAGATCCTTTCTCAAGGTTTATTCATAACATGCTACTGTTTAACCAAAGTGTCTATAGTTTGCTTTGACTCTGAATACTTTCGATTATTGTAAGGAAGGGAGACAAATGCTGGCCAGATCAGAACAGGGCAGATTACCGAGCAGTAAGGGCGGTATGATGTCTTGTTCTCTCTTTACAAAGATGTTATTTACTATTACTCCATTTACTATTTACTCCAGTTTATTTAACTGGAGTAAATAGTTAAGTAATTTGTTTCCCACAACACCCTGAATTGACCTCGATCGTTTTTTTTTTCTTATTAGCTCTGAAAATATTCCCTGCTCTGTGGAAAAGCTATTCACCAGAGAAAGATATCTCGCCTCAAAGTTTCTGTGTGGTAATGGTGTGCTCAGATTGATATGTAGTATCAGCTTTCTGTCACACATTGCATTTTTCCATATAGGCTAAAAGGGAGAGGTAAAACACGGATTGCAATAAAGGGACCTGAGTGTAAATTTAAGAGTGACTTAAGTGTGTGATTGTTATGTAAGAAAATATGATAAAGTTCAAGGCATACTCTTGCAAGGTAATGTTCTCTTAATTGAAGTGTGGTACTTGGAGTTTCTCATACTATGCTTGTACTTTTTACATTGTATTCTTGAGCTGGAAATGCAATATAAATAAACATATAAATATTATTAACCATGTTTCCAAACTTAATAACAGTAAAACATAATTCAATTCACCTGGAGGTTTGAGAGGTCTGGCTTGTGAGAGCCCTCCACCTGACAGGTCCCCACCTGAACCTGCAAAGATCAAAGTAAAGAAGTCAAATTGAGTTTTAGCTACATGAATGCAATGATCCAGTCTCACCACTAGGGGGGAGTCCTGTTTCAGTTAAATTATAAAGAAATAAAATAGATGGAAAAGTGAAAAACGTTTTCAAACAATTAACACACACACAGATAGATAGATAGATAGATAGATAGATAGATAGATAGATAGATAGATAGATAGATAGATAGATAGATAGATAGATAGATAGATAGATAGATAGATAGATAGATAGATAGATGATAGATAGATAGATAGATAGATAGATAGATAGATAGATAGATAGATGTGTGTGTCAAACAACAAATACTTAGAAAAACAGGACTCTCAATTTATGTGAGCAGTTTATGAAACTATGAAACTATGTACTGCTGCACCACCAACTGTAAAGTCAGAAACACATGTTATTTTTTTGTTTGTTTTTTTTTAAGCACAAAAGGTTTCACTAAATTATAATTTTGCAGTCCTGAAAGTAACTGTTTTTGGTTTGGTTTTTACCAAGCGCCACTATTTTGTGATAAAAGGAGTGGCCACTAACAGCTGCAAAAGCTTTAAGTATATAGAAACTCTGAAAGACTCAGATTTTGTTGGAAGAACAGCAGTATCATGTTGGGACCTTCTTAATACTTTAGTTTACTTTTCTTCTTGAACAATTTTGAAAACAGTATTTCAGTGTATTAATGTCTATACTGTAAGTCTATAAAGATTAAATCTTGATGATCATTATTATTAAAGTTAACTTACCAGAGGGAGCTCCTGTGGAATTTGTCAAACATGAACAAAAAGTTCAGAAATTATGCGCAAATTCTGTACTTGAAAAATACATGTGATTTCTTGTAGATGTAACTTTACAAATTTGAAATAAATTTAATTTTTATCATAAATATAATTGAGATTGAGATTTGTTCTCAATCAATTGTCTATCTATCTATCTATCTATCTATCTATCTATCTATCTATCTATCTATCTATTGTAGAACTGTGGGAAACATTGAACATTTTCAGATTAGTTTTTGCTAATTTTATTTAACATAAACTGTTTAAATAAATAGTGCCATTTTATTTTCATTTGGGGGTGCTGTCTGGGAAGTCTATGAAAACAATGTTCATATAAAGTACACTTATTAGGTTAGGATATGCCAATATGATACTATCAGCAAATACTGAGAGGATAATATCATAATCTGATTTCCATTGGACAAAAATAAATAGTTATACTGGTTTTGAAAGTACATAAAGATTCTCACCTGGAATTGTGGTCCCGTTAAATCCTATTATAGAAAGATGATTAACAACTTTTCTTCCAATTATACAAAAATATATTTGAAATATAACCATGTATATTTCATGTGGATTTTTGTTTTCGAGAGGTCGCCGCCAGAATTACCTGGAATTGATCCAATGATGGGAATACTGCTTCCATTCAAACCATCTCCATGTCCTCCCACTGGCCTCTCACCTACAACTGTCCCTCCTATTTTGGTATGATATATCACAAATTATTATTATAATTATTATAAAAAAAATCACAGCAATGAGATAGAAATCATCTGGTTGTTACAACAGTGTTGTTGTTTTTTTATTGAAAGGACATGTTATTTAAGACATGTTTCTTGACGATGTAAAAGATTGTAAAAAGTTAACAAACCATCTCCTCCAGGAATGCCGGAGCCCTCCAAAACAGTGGCAGTACCGCTCTCAACTGGAAAAGAATTTCAAAAAATAGCCAAAGTCCTTAATTATAAAAGACAGAACATTTAGCTGAGGTTGTATCATGTTTTTGTTTATTTTATTTACGCGTGTACAAAGAAAAATTGAGATACCTTCCGCTGCTGGTGTTGGTGTGCCATCCGGAGCTCCAGGTCTTGTTTCTGATCCAATGCGGTACATGGTTGTCCAAAGGAAATGATCAAATTATTAATTCTAAGTGAGCAATATAACTGTGCTAACTTTTCAACAGACAGGCTCACCACCAGGGCGTGAAGTTGGTCTTGCACCGCTAGTGCTGATCGTTTCATTGCCTCCAACCCTGGTTCCTACTCCTGTCCCGGGTAGAACAGCACCTGAATGGTCAAGAAATGAGGGGAAAAGAGAGATATATCTATTGATGGGCTGCTCAGTGGTGCAGTTTGTACCATTGTTGCATCACAGCAAAAAGATTCCATGTTTGATTCCCTGCCCCGGGTCTTTCTGCATGGAGTTTGCATGTTCTCCCTGTGCATGCGTGGATTCTCTCCAGGTACTCCTGCTTCCTCACAGTCAAAACACATAGGTTAATTGACTTCTTTGAATTGTCCATAGGTGTGTGTGCATGGTGTATGACTTTATGTTTCTGTGTTTCCTTGCAGCAGACTGGCGACCTGTCAAGGGTGTACCCCACCTCTTACCCATAGTGAAGATAAACACTGTGACCCTGATGGCATAAGCGAAAGAAGAGCGATGGATGAAGAAATCTATTGACAAATTTCTTCTAGACGACATTAAATGCACCACTTTCTTCTGTTTGCCAAATGTGGCCGGTTTAACTGTTCCACAATCTGGGGATAAACAATAAAACTGCTTCAATTTCACCAACAGGAAGCAAAACATCCTGCACAGATGAATAATAATGTGTTAGCATCTTCAACCATCATCTCAAACCGTACCTTTTTCCAAAACTGGGATAAATATTTAGAGCCGAATTTTCAAAAAAATAAAACAGTTTTTGTTGACTGAACACTTCCCAGTTAAGTGCATAAGACACTGCCTAATTTGTTAAGGCAATAACGCGTCTTTAGGTGTTGGAACCACTAAGGCTGTTGACTGATCTCCATCCACCCAGTGATCTTATACTGCTTGTCTGTCAGGGTCTATAGATCTATAGCAGTGCATGGGTCGAAGGTGGAGTACACTCTGGACTGCTGGCAGCTCTATCACAGGGCAACACAGAGGCACATGACAGTGGACACTGAGGACAATTTAAAGATGCCAATCAACTTAGCAGTTACGTTTTTGAAGTGCTGGAAGAAAGCAGAGTACCCAGAAACAACCCATGCATGCACAAGGAGAACATGCAAACTCCGTACAGAAAGAACCAAGGCCGGGAATCAAACGTGGGACTTTCTTGCTGCAAGGCATCAGTGCTACAAACTGCTACAAACTGTGCTGATGTAGGCACCCTTTTACTGAACTCTGTAACTGTGCCTCAAAAAATCAGTTTGTTTGCAAGTTTGTCTTTAGAATACTGAAATGTGTTGTTGGGGCGATAGTGACATAAGATACATGAGATCTTCCAGCAGTTGGAGGATTAGCGGTCTGAACCTCTGCTCCATCCGTCTCAGTTTCTGAGTCCTTTAGCAAGACAATTCACCTGCATTGCCTGCTGATGGTGGTCAGAGGTCAGGTGGTGCCTGTGTGGGGCTGCTTCACTTCTGTCAGTGTGCCCCAGGACAGCTGTGGCTACAATGTAGCTTTTCACCATCAATGGCTGAATGTAGTGAAAGGGCTCCCCTGACTTGAAAAGGTGCTAAATAAGTGAATGATTATATGTTACTGCTTTTAGCGAATCTGAACTCATTCAGCATGTTTACCACTGCAATGTGAGTTCAGTTAACAGGCCAAAGATCTTAGCAGCATGTTAAGACTGTGTTGATTACACTTATAAAAAGTGCACAAACAAATGATGTTCCAAATCATTTCAAATATCATAAAAACATGTACAGACTTGATTGTTAAACTGACCATTTATGTTTATTAAGGGATGTTCTGAAGAGTACCCTGAGCCAGTGCAAGACAACTAAAGGTTATGCTAATAAAATGCTCAGGTCTGATCTTTAATAGGATTTAGAGAACCTGTGTCCTTTCGTTGTATAGTGTCATATGAAAAACAAACAAACAAAGAAACTAATGAGACAGGACAGCACCCTAAAAAAGGAGGACTTATTAAAAAAGCAAGTCTTAATAAAGATGGTTTAGGCTTATATAATTTCCCCTTGTGCCCTCATAGACCCAAAATAACAATTTCAACTGTTTGTCTTTTGGCTTCATAGAAGACAATTATTAAGACAAAATAAGTTTATGTTTACATGATTAAAAAAAAAAGTAATACACTTTCATATTAATCCAAAACTATGTTTACAGACAGTATAGGAGGAAAAAATGCCCTGCCACCACAAACACCAACAGAAGAATTAACCACCTTGTCCTGCTCCCCCTCCAAGTACCCCGCCTCCACTGGACCCAACTTGACCTTTACCAAAATAAGCATAAAAATATACATTTCCTGTGATTTTAAAGATTTTAAACACTTAGCAGTTTTTCTGGGTTGCTTTTTTTACGTAAAGATACCATTTTTTTTTTCGTACCGTATTTAGAAGGTTTGGATCCAGGTCGATAACCTGTGTACAAGAGAAGGGACAGACTATACCTTTACATGTTTAAAATAAACTATATATTTAAAGATGAAAATGCCTTCTTTAAACCTGTTCCATATCCAGCTCCTGTGCCTATTCCATAACCTCCTCCTGGAACATAACCCGTTCCAGCTACTGTGCCAACTCCTGGTCCTCTGCTGACATTAGGAACCCCTCCAGTCCCTTGACCCCCAAATTCAGATCCAGGAGCTCCAGCTCCACCTGGGAGCCCTGCCAAGTAGAGGATTTAAAACTAATTTAACACTGATTCTATCTATCTATCTATCTAATATAATAAACATTATCCTAATATAATAAACATTTGTGTTCCCTGTTTAAATGAGTGATATAAATATAAAATCCCACCATATTGGAGAGACTTTGCACCACCAGGATACCCTAGGAAACAGAGCAGGGAAAATATATATAAGAGGGTTTTGCTTTAATATCATCAGTTTATTTGACTTCTATTCTATGCTGAATTAAATGCTGTTGTCTGTCCTCTGGTTGCCCTTTTTAGCTTTACAAACCTTTTTCAAATGCTTTGCTTGGATGAGTGTTTTCCTACTTTGACAACTAATGATTCATTTTAAAAAATGTAACAATGATACTTATTTGTTGTTTTTGGTAACACATAACCTGGTATAAGCTATATGGATACTTTGTAGAATTCAAACTGATCTACATGTATCCATCTGGAAAGCCTTCTGTTGAAAGTGTTTGCAAAAGGGAGGGACATTCAATTCAATTCTTCGGTCTGACTGGGTGAACCAAGTGGCACACAGGGCCAATAACAAAAGCGCTAGCAGTTGTGTCGTATCCCATTCTTTATTTGTTTCACAATGGGCAAAGTCAACTGATAAATCAAACTCTTTCTAAATCTGGTCATGAGGAACACGTAAAGATCTTTCTTATCCAGAAAACAAAAATCACTTCCTTTTGTTTTTCAGAGAGAAATAGAGGGTAGTCGAGGTAAAATCAGTGCAGCCATCATTGCTTTGCTTCAACTTTCCATCTCTGGTTGACGTGTTGACGTCATACTGCATTACATTAGTCAGAAACATTTATTTATCGAGGCTAATGCATCTGTTGTTCTGGTGGAAGGTATTTTCATGAGTTTGTAAATTCGCAAATCTCCCAATAATTGATCCTGCTTGCAAGGTAAGGTAACACATATCCATATGAATAATTTTAATTTGTTCAAAATCAGGGACTAGATCCACAAGCTAAGGGAATATGGTATAATTACCTGCATGTAGAATATAATATGCAGTTAGATTAAAGTCAACCTGCATCTTGGGAATTACACTATATTGCCAAAAGTATTTGCTCACCCATCCAAATTATTGGAATCAGGTGTTCCAATCACTTCCATGGCCACAGGTGTATAAATTCAAGCACCTAGGCATGCAGACTGTTTTTACAAACATTTGTGAAAGAATGGGTCGCTCTCAGGAGCTCAGTGAATTCCAGCGTGGAACTGTGATAGGATGCCACCTGTGCAACAAATCCAGTCGTGAAATTTCCTCGCTCCTAAATATTCCACAGTCAACTGTCAGCTGTATTATAAGAAAATGGAAGTGTTTGGGAACGACAGCAACTCAGCCACGAAGTGGTAGGCCACGTAAACTGACGGAGCGGGGTCAGCGGATGCTGACGCGCATAGTGCGAAGAGGTCGCCAAATTTCTGCAGAGTCAATCACTACAGACCTCCAAACTTCATGTGGCCTTCAGATTAGCTCAAGAACAGTGCGCAGAGAGCTTCATGGAATGGGTTTCCATGGGCGAGCAGCTGCATCCAAGCCATACATCACCAAGTGCAATGCAAAGCGTCGGATGCGGTGGTGTAAAGCACGCCGCCACTGGACTCTAGAGCAGTGGAGACGCGTTCTCTGGAGTGACGAATCGCGCTTCTCCATCTGGCAATCTGATGGACGGGTCTGGGTTTGGCGGTTGCCAGGAGAACGGTACTTGTCTGACTGCATTGTGCCAAGTGTAAAGTTTGGTGGAGGGGGGATTATGGTGTGGGGTTGTTTTTCAGGAGCTGGGCTTGGCCCCTTAGTTCCAGTGAAAGGAACTCTGAATGCTTCAGCATACCAAGACATTTTGGACAATTCCATGCTCCCAACTTTGTGGGAACAGTTTGGAGCTGGCCCCTTCCTCTTCCAACATGACTGTGCACCAGTGCACAAAGCAAGGTCCATAAAGACATGGATGACAGAGTCTGGTGTGGATGAACTTGACTGGCCTGCACAGAGTCCTGACCTCAACCCGATAGAACACCTTTGGGATGAATTAGAGCGGAGACTGAGAGCCAGGCCTTCTCGTCCAACATCAGTGTGCGACCTCACAAATGCGCTTCTGGAAGAATGGTCAAAAATTCCCATAAACACACTCCTAAACCTTGTGGACAGCCTTCCCAGAAGAGTTGAAGCTGTTCTAGCTGCAAAGGGTGGACCGACGTCATATTGAACCCTATGGATTAGGAACGGGATGTCACTTAAGCTCATATGTGAGTCAAGGCAGGTGAGCAAATACTTTTGGCAATATAGTGTATGTCTGTATTTATTGAAAATAATTCACTGTGAAGAAAATGTGCAACCTTTTAAGTAAATAGGTACCACGTATTTTCTTTTTTAAGTACCTAATTGAAATAAGAAGGAAAGAATTGACTAACAGGTAAAAAAAAAAAAAAAGAAAAAAAAAAAAGAAAGAATAATATAATACTAACTGCTCTAGAGCTATTTCAGAACCATGTTTTTACCTCCAGCACTACCTGGTCCAAAGCCACCAGGCCCTCCTCCTGTTCCAATGCCGGTACCAGGTGTCCCTGCTGTCCCAAGTCCTGATCCAGGGCCACCACCAGTTGTCACTCCCCCTCTTCCAGGAATCCCTCCACCTACTCCAAATCCAGACCCGGGCCCAGTTCCAACCCCAACTCCTCCTGTACCCAGTGTACCTCCTACACCTCCAGGGACTCCTGCAAAGACGATTAGTTTGATCACTTCTGCCCTGATGCTGCCTATCAGAAAACAATCATGCCTGGGACACAGCATACAGATCAGGAGGCACACTGGCCTACAGCTAGGCTATGGGAGAACTGAGTGGGAAAAGCACAGGTACAAGGGCCACATCAAGGAGCACATCAATATCAACAGTCCATGAATAGTCAGAAAGACACTGACAGACCCAAGGTGGTGAGGATAAGGAAATTCACATCTTCAAGACTGATTTTCAACACTGGCACACTGCATGGTTGTGTTTTAGCCCTGCTCTCTTAGATATTTACACATAAAGTTACTGGGCCTTCGCCTTTACTCAGATCTTTTCTAGACTGAGAACACCTCTCTTGGAAAGAAGTCCCAACGATGGATCTTCTTTGTCTGCAAGTTAAAACAGTTTCTCATTAACTATTTTAGGGTCATGATTAAAAAGATCCCGTACCTTGGTGTAAAAGTGGGGTATGGGAGCTGCGTGGCACAGGAAAAGAAGGGTCCTAGGTAGTTAGTACATCAGGGGGCTTGTGAAATATTATCTACCCATGAATAAGCTCATATCTATGCTGGACGAGTCTAGAAAATAGCCAGATGCATTGCTGCAATCACCCAGCACTTGCACTTGGATCAAAATCAAAATTATTCAGCACAAATTAACCTAAAAATGGTTTATTTCCTAAAGCAACAGAAGCACCCCCTTCCTCAAGTCTGAAAATGCAATCTACAATCAAATATATAGCCGTCCAATTGATTAACTGTATATGTTTATCGCAATATTCCAAAACACAGTAAATGTATTTAAAACTTGTCTCACCATATTTGCGTGCTTTGGCTCCTGCATATCCTGCAAATACACCATAATTACATTAAGAATCTTAACAACCAAATGTGTCTTTATGATCTGTGTTTTTATTTTAGAATTCTAGTATATGCTTGCTCTGCATTTTACCTCCTGCTCCATATCCAGTGCCAACTCCACCTGGTCCAGCACCTCCTGGTCCATATCCAGTACCAACCCCACCTGGTCCAACACCTCCTGGTCCATACCCAGTACCAACCCCACCTGGTCCAGCACCTCCTGGTCCATATCCAGTACCAACCCCACCTGGTCCAACACCTCCTGGTCCATACCCAGTACCAACCCCACCTGGTCCAGCACCTCCTGGTCCATATCCAGTACCAACCCCACCTGGTCCAACTCCTCCTGGTCCATATCCAGTACCAACCCCACCTGGTCCAACTCCTCCTGGTCCATATCCAGTGCCAACCCCACCTGGTCCAACTCCTCCTGGTCCATATCCAGTACCAACCCCACCTGGTCCAACTCCTCCTGGTCCATATCTAGTGCCAACTCCCCCTTGACCAGCACCTCCTGGTCCATATCCAGGGCCAACTCCACTTTGTCCAACACCTGAAGGTCCTCCAAGTGCTCCACTTAACATACCTACAAACAAACAGAAACATCACGTTTTTTTTTTTATGTTAGGAAACAGTTCCTTAAATGTGCTGTGGTTTTTTATTTTTATTTTTTACCATATTTGCGAGCTTTGGCACTGGCATCATATCCTAGGATAAGAAAAAAAGGTGCTTCCTAAATCAGTAAGTTAGAGTTATTGCACCGTGCTCTGTTCGTTGATAGTAAAAAAGTGAAAAATTAATAAGGAATAAACAAAAATATGAAATTATTGTTTAAGTGGCTAATAGCATTAAAAAAGTAAAGTTATCTAAATTTTCCATAAAAGTATTTGCTGATTACCCCCCGGTCCAGTTCCGACTCCACCTGGTCCCACACCTCCAGGTCCATATCCAGTACCAACACTCCCTGGTCCAACTCCACCTGGTCCATATCCAGTGCCAGCACCACCTGGCACAACTCCACCTGGTCCAACTCCGCCTGGTCCATATCCAGTGCCTACACCACCTGGTCCAACTCCGCCTGGTCCATATCCAGTGCCGACACCGCCTGGTCCAACTCCGCCTGGTCCATATCCAGTGCCGACACCGCCTGGTCCAACTCCGCCTGGTCCATATCCAGTGCCAGCACCACCTGGCACAACTCCACCTGGTCCAACTCCGCCTGGTCCATATCCAGTGCCGACACCGCCTGGTCCAACTCCGCCTGGTCCATATCCAGTGCCTACACCACCTGGTCCAACTCCGCCTGGTCCATATCCAGTGCCGACACCGCCTGGTCCAACTCCGCCTGGTCCATATCCAGTGCCGACACCGCCTGGTCCAACTCCACCTGGTCCATATCCAGTGCCAGCACCACCTGGTCCAAAACCAAGTCCTGAACCAGGTCCCAACCCTGTGCCTCGGCCAAGCCCTCCTAGTGCCCCCCCTCCTGTTGTTGAACCAACTCCAGTTGCACCAGGACCTACATTACCTGTAAATGTTGAATACATTTTATGGAGTAAAAAAAGATACATCTATGGACCTAATGATTTAGTTATTTGAAGGTATGCCTCACCATATTTGCGTGCTTTGGCTGAGCCAGGGCCATAACCTGTGTGGAGCACAAACATCAACTTACATTAATTAAAACAGATACTTTAAAATGAAATATACTTTTAAATAACATTTTATCGTCATTACTGATTAAATCAAACAGTAGGAAAATATCTTTAATCTTTAAACATTTCAACTTTTTCCCCTCAGAGAGCAGGGAAGAGTTATCTCCTTCAGATTTACCTAACCCAGGTGTGTTACTGCCTACTCCTGTTCCAGCTCCTCCTCCAAATCCTGGTCCAACTCCTGTCCCTGCTCCAGTCCCAGCACCTGTTGCTACTCCAGGTCTAACTCCTGGTCCAACTCCTCCACCAAATCCAGGTCCAACTCCTGTTCCCACTCCAGGTCCACCACTGGTCCCAAAGCCATCCCCAACTCTAGGTCCGACTCCTGTTCCGCTTGCTGTTCCAGGGATGACTCCTACTCCACCTCCAGGAAGTCTTCCAGTGCCTAAGGTGCTTCCCTGACCAAGAGAACCGCCTCCAGCTTCAGCAATAAAGAGAGGTGTACAGAAAAACAAAAAAAAAAAACAAAAAAACAGCACTATTGATTTCGCCCAATAGATTGAAATAACACCTTAAGTTATCCTCACTCAGTTATAGATTTCACAAGTAGTTTGCGTTACCATATTTGGCTGCAGCTTTTCCAGGTTTCTTTGATTTTCCTGTCCCTAAATTTAAACAACACAGTTAAAATTGCCTGATTTCAATATGTATTTTGGATGTATAACAGTTTCTATGTAACAATCAGGTACAATTTACAGCCCTTACAGTAAGTTCCAGTGTACCTGATTTTGGTGATATTAGAGGGTAACCATGAAAAACTCCAGATAACTGTTGTCCACGTTGACCACCTAACACGATATTAAAGTTACACATGGTCGTGTAAAATAGTGGAAACAAAATGTGACTTTCTTTTCAAGACTAACAGGTATTCATTTTGAAATCAAAGTTATTTATGTGTTTTAAATGATAGTGTTCTGACTGTGAGATACTGACTGCCTGCTTGTCCTGTTCCACCTTGACCAAGTACCCCAGTCCCTGCAAAAAAAAAAGTTTAATTTGAGTTTTTGGACTTGTATGCTAAAATCAGCTTTCCCATCATTGATGAACAAGGTTTATATACCAGTTTGAGGCCCAATACCAGACCCTGTGGCTACTCCAGGGAGAACCCCACGGCCTCCGAAACCTTATCAGAGGACACAGAAAGACTAAGAAGTTTTCATCTATATAGGATATTATACATTACATACACTTTTACATTTGTAACACACCTTGACCTGGTACAAATCCACCTTGATAAAGTCCAGGTACTCCGACTCCTGTGTAAACCATATGCTATTAATTGTATGTCAATAATAAAACCAGTCATTGTAGATTAAGATAATACTTTATAAAGACAGGCCCTTTTGCCAAACAGTGTTGGGACAGATTGGCTGAGATCATATGAGGTTTACCTGGAACTTGTTTGGATGCTTTAGCACTTGTCTTTCCTCCAAGTCCTACACCAGTCTGAGGCAATACTGGAGCTGCAGAGAATATTTGTCAGGCAAAAAATAATTTATGTAGAACTTTTACACCTTTCTGATGAATTACTTCTTTGATTAAACATAAAGGTTCATGACAAAACAACTTTATAAAAAAAAACCTTCAGGATTTTCAATAGAAATCAGACCTACAGCCTTGTCTTTTTAACTGAGTAATTTTTCAAAGAAATGTAGAAGATTGCTATGGTGTTTAATGCACTCAGGAGTACAAGGTTTGGCCTAAAAAATATATAACTCTTAATTTGTTTCTGGATTTGTCATGTTATAACTATAACATTAACATAATGGATGGACATTTTATGGTTTAGACTAACTCAACTGGTATCAATAAATAATAATGATTTACCTTTTTGCACAGCTAAACTGGGTGTCTTGCATTTTTGTCATATCCAAAATGTACAAAAGCTTTATAATGTATACCTAGAAACAACATTTTTGGCCCATTGCTCTTTCCAAAATAGATATCCCCCTTAGATTTGATGCAGGTTATCTGAAAGCATCATTTTTCAAACCATAGATTTTAAATCAGATTTAGTTCTACACAATGGGAGGCCAATTTTAACACGGACAGCTCCCTTGTATCTCTGACAGTATGTTAAAGGCTGTCATTCTGCTGGATGATGAACCGGGTGTTGGTTGATTCCATCTACACTACCGTTCAAAAGTTTGGGGTCACATTGAACACAGCACAAACAGGCTACTGCGGGTACTATTTAATGAAGATGCCAGTTGGGGACCTGTGAGGCGTCTGTTTCTCAAACTAGAGACTCTAATGTACTTATCTTCTTGCCCGGTTGTGCAACGCGGCCTCACACTTCTTTTTCTACTCTGGTTAGAGCCTGTTTGGGCTGTCCTCTGAAAGGAGTAGGAAATTTTCAATTTCTTAGCAATTTCTCGCATGGAATAGCCTTCATTTCTAAGAACAAAAATAGGCTGTCGAGTTTCAGATGAAAGTTCTCTTTTTCTGGCCATTTTGAGCATTTAATTGACCCCACAAATGTGATGCTCCAGAAATTCAATCTGCTCAAAGGAAGGTCAGTTTTGTAGCTTCTGTAATGAGCTAAACTGTTTTCAGATGTGTGAACATGATTGCACAAGGGTTTTATAATTATCAATTAGCCTTCTGAGCCAATGAGCAAACACATTGTACCATTAGAATACTGGAGAGATAGTTGCTGGAAATGGGCCTCTATACACCTATGTAGATATTGCACCAAAAACCAGACATTTGCAGCTAGAATAGTCATTTACCACATTAGCAATGTATAGAGTGTATTTCTTTAAAGTTAAGACTAGTTTAATGTTATCTTCATTGAAAAGTACAGTGCTTTTCCTTCAAAAATAAGGACATTTTAATGTGACCCCAAACTTTTGAACGGTAGTGTAATATCAATCTGGCTAGATTTCTCTGTCACTGTTAAACATCCGTTCATAGTGATGTGTGCCTAAACAGGTTTTCAGCAAACTCTCCAATTTGGGCATATTCTTTCTTATTTATTTCAGTTGATGGGTAGACCAAAAGATGTTGAAAGTTCGTGGTTTTTATAACCTAACACTTCTTTGAAATTTCATGAAGCAGATATCTGCTCTGTCTGTCTTAATGATGCTGTTTTGGTAATTGATTGGCCTGGAATTTAATGATGAGCATAAATACAAACACAGCAGAGTTTTTAAATATTTATGTAGAAACACATAAAAAAAAACATGAATTGATTTCAATTTAAAAATATTTACTCCTAATTGATGGCCTATTAAATAAAATTTGAATTAAATAGATATGCACAAAGTTTGAAGGGTGTGAGCATTTTAGCTAGAGACCATACGTATATACATTTACATATTGCTCAATTTATTAGAATCTATTTACCACCTCCGCCTGGAACTGCTCCACCGGCACCGGTTCCTGTTCCTCCAGTTCCAACTCCAGTTCCACCAGGAGCGATTCCTGCACCACCTGGACCAATCCCAGCCCCTCCAGTACCACTCCCAGTTCCACCAGGTCCAAAACCTGTACTCCCAGGAACTTGCCCAGTTCCACCAGGTCCAAACCCCGTACCTCCAGGACCAAATCCGGTTCCCCCAGGAACTTGCCCGGTTCCACCAGGTCCAAACCCAGTACCCCCAGGAACTTGCCCGGTTCCACCAGGTCCAAACCCCGTACCTCCAGGACCAAATCCTGTTCCCCCAGGAACTTGTCCAGTTCCACCAGGTCCAAACCCAGTACCCCCAGGAACTTGCCCGGTTCCACCAGGTCCAAACCCAGTACCTCCAGGACCAAATCCTGTTCCCCCAGGAACTTGCCCGGTTCCACCAGGTCCAAACCCAGTACCTCCAGGACCAAATCCTGTTCCCCCAGGAACCTGCCCAGTTCCTCCAGGCCCAACACCTGTACCACCTCCAGGTCTAAACCCAGTTCCACCTGCTCCAACCCCTGTTCCCGCACCACCTATGGTAACAAAAACATACATCAATCACATTTTACTAACTACTGATGATTTAAAAAAAAAGCTTAATAAAACACCAACCTGTTTTAGGAGGTTTGGGTCCATAACCACCACCATATCCCCCATAACCACCTAAAGAGATTATAGGACTTCTTAGACAGTTATTTATGACAATTAATGCTCATTAATTGTTTTCATAAGAAATGTCAAATGTTTGAGTCACATTATATCACATTATCATTTAAAGTGGATTTTCTGACTCCAACAGCCATGACAGATGTGTTTACAAGACACCCAACAGCTGTGACAATTAATTAACTCACCTCCAGGTCTGTAGCCTGTACCTGCTCCCTGACCTGTAACCACACCACTGCCTCCTCCGGGACCACCTGCACCAAGGCCTCCATACCCTGGTAAAGAGAAAGAGAAGAAGCAATCATCTTTTTTTTTTTTTTTTTTTTGTGGAAATGCTGTAAGCTACCATAAAACTGTGACATGTAGTCTCAATTGCATCTATTTCTGTATGATTCTCCTATCTTGGAATCCTGTTAATTTTTCTTAAACCTTGAAAAATCTATCATCATTTTGATTGTTTTGTTTATTTTCTAGATTTATATGCTTCTGCTTTATTGTATTAATTTGCACAGATTTACCACAGAGTAGCTTTGTACTATCCAAGCAGTTCTCTGATTGTTTGATTGAGTTAACCAGAACATTTGAGCATTAAAGGGTACATATGCTTTTAAATCCTTGGATCATGTGTTTACCAAGACAAAAATGACAATCAAATAAATTGCCGAATTGTTTATGTAGTATTGCTATTCAAAAAACAGTCCTTAAGGAGCTAGAATCATACTTACAGTGAAAAAAAAATCAGAAGACATTAGGATGGGCTATCAAAACAACAACCTAGACAGAAGGAACTGACCCCTCAGACAGTGAAGTGGAAGGGCATCAACTGCTGCCATGATAAATAAATGCCATGTGGTTTGTTAAAGTGATAAAGTGGCTGGTAATAGTGGTATGGATGTAGGAGATTCCCCTTCAAAGAGGTTCTGATACTATTGGGGGGGTTCAGTCAATTGCATCCAACAACCGAATATTTGAATTTATCCACTTTTGCTTCACATCCTTCAACTTGAACTACAAAAACAGTGCAAGAAACAAACATGGTGGATTCACTGGAAATCCATGATCTTGTTTAGCAGAAAAATGGCAAATATTGTCAGGCAAAAGTTAACAAACCATAGTAGAAAATCGAGATCACTGAACTGACTTTAAAAAGTAGACATTTGTAGAATCCAAGTACAGAACATGTATTTAAGAGCTAAGTGGATTTTGCATGATCATGCTCTTAATTATATTACACTTTTATGCGGCTTTTTGTTAACTGCAAACACGACATACAAACATGTTTCCTATGCTTTTACTGACCTATTTTCTACCCACCAGCACAATGGGTGGAATTTAAAAAGCTTTGCCAAAACCAAGGCTTATCCCATATGAACTGTTTTCATAGTATCATTAAAAATGTTCCATCCAGGACAAGCAGCTCACATATACGTGGAATGAAAAACAAGGAGGCCTCCAATTTCAAAGCAAATCCCTGTGACTAACATAATGACTTCCATTCTTTATCGAGGGACTCCCATGCCTAACACATTTTACCCTTTATCACTATATGCATTTGTGGGTGTTGTCAGAACAAAAGCCTATGATGTTGATTTGGCAGCATATGAAATAATGCTACCGTATATTTACGAAGTATTTATCCTTCATTTGTTTGTTGATTTGAAAGAAATGACCATTATTCTTTTACTAATATTACAGCAGAAAATGGAGATGGTTTAAACTTCTAAATAAGTTTGCTGATATGACTTTCACTATATTAGATAACTAGTCCACAGATAGGTTCAAACTATTATTTAGCCTGTGCTTTTTCCCCTCTTATTATTTGTTGCAAGAAATTTCTTTAACATATTAACATACCATCTCTTCAAAAATATTCCTAAACCTTGACGTTTCTAAGTTTTTTTTTTTTATGTTACAACCACAAACCCAAAAGATTTGTTTTGATGCAAATTCATTTGATGGGTCACAAAGTAATGCAGAATTCTGAAGTTGAAAGGAACATATACAAAAATGTCCAACTTTTATTTCCAGTTCTTTCCAGATCTGCTCAGTCAAAACTCTATAGAAGCAATTTTTTTTTTTTTTTTTTGCTGCAGTTACAATTACAGCTCTACAGAATTGCGTAATAAATTGGTATTCACTCTATAAATGTACACGGATAAAGTACTGATTTCTCTTCACAAATTGGATAAAGCTAAGTCTGATTGAACGTAGACCATCTGGGAAATTTGCCACTAACTTCCATTTAGCTGTAGACAGCTGCAGCCTCAAACCTCCATGGCTTTAAACTTTTTCCTTGACACATCTAGTTTGTTTATTGGTCTTTGTGAAGCTGTTTGTTTCCCCAAATCCTAAGATATTCCCAGAAAAGCTAGATTTGTGTTGAAATTTATTTACCCGTAGAAGATAACCTGCAGTGATCTTTCCACCAAAAACTGCAGTAATTGAATGTGGAAAATGTCAAAAGTAAGATGTCTGTATTAATCACACCTTGTTGATCTATTATCTGTATCTAACACACCTGTCCACTGCCTCAAACAGTCAGACTCCAAACTCAATTGTGGCTAGGACCAAAGATGTGTAGAAGGACACTAGGATGAAAATATAGACCTGTGCCAGTCTGGGATGAGTGAATCTACAATAGGCAAGCAGGTTGGTATGAATAAAACAGGCTAATCTAAGGCTAATGATAATATCTGTTTCATGTGAGCCAAGTGGAAGATCTTATCCAGTGAGGTCAAAGTGATCATGAGAACAGTGCAAAAAAAAAACAGAACTACACAGAGGAATGATGATGAATGACCTGCAGAGAGCTGGGACCAAAGAAACAGAGGCTAACATCAGTAAAACACTATGCTTACAGGGAGTTAAATCCTGCCGTGCCAGGCATGAACCCCTGCTTAATCCAGTAAATGTCCAGACCCATCTAAAGTTTTGAAGAGAACTCATGTATGATCCAGAAGAGGATTGGAAAATATCAATTAACTCTTTGAGCTTAAAGGAAAAAGAATGCTGAGTTATATCCCAAGAACTCCACCAGACTGGTGTTATCAGGCCTGTACACCCCTGGTCTATTTTGGTCAGACTGACACAGTAATTGGAGGCAAACACATCAGTTTAATAGAAGGAGGGACACAGTGGTAAAGTGAAAAACAAGGCTTTTGAAGAAAAAAAAGTAGAATCTCTGAATCCACCCAGGTTTGCTCTGCTTGCAAACACAGGGTGCATAAATAAATCCCAGGTCTTAAAAAGCACATGCTTTAAATGTACTGGTCTATTACATTAACTTCCTCATAAACAACTTAAGGTTTATGGTTGTAATGTGACAGGTCACTTAGAGCTAAGACGCATTTTTGTATAGATTTTTCAAAAGGTAATTTACCGTAATCAGTTGATTTTATATTAGATTTAAGGCATTCAACTAGGCATAAGACCATTTGAATGTTGTCATTCATTAAGTATTGGAAATACTTGTTTTAAAAACCAAAAGTTCATAAATAATCAGGTAAAGAAATTTATCTGTACCTTGGCCAGCTGTACCAGCTCCTACTTGGCCAAATCCACCTGGGCCAACTCCACCAGGACCAGTTCCAAAGCCTCCAGGGCCACCTCCACCTGGTCCAAAACCAGTACCAACTCCTCCTGGTCTCAGTCCTCCTCCTGCACTTCCTTGTCCTGTTCCAAGCCCACCATATCCACCTCCTAAAGAAAAGTAGAATGCTGTATTTGTTTTGTTGTTTTTTTATGCTGATGCAGCAACCATTTTTAGTCCAGCCAATGCGTCCCACCTGTTTTAGGAGGTTTTCCACCTGGAATAAGGTGGGGGAAAAAAATGACAGTTTACAGATAAAAACACAGAAGAATATAAAATTGGTAGAAAAATGTGCAAAACTTTTCTTACCAGCCCCAGGAATTACCCCTAGTCCACCACTTCCTGGACCAAAAGTGCCTGGTCTAAAACCCCCGGTTCCAACTCCACCAGGTCCAGCTCCGCCTGGACCAAATCCTCCTGGGCCAACTCCACCCGGTCCAACTCCTCCTGGTCCAACTCCTCCTGGGCCAACTCCACCTGGTCCAACTCCTCCTGGACCAAATCCTCCTGGGCCAACTCCACCCGGTCCAACTCCTCCTGGACCAAATCCTCCTGGACCAACTCCACCTGGTCCAACTCCTCCTGGACCAAATCCTCCTGGGCCAACTCCACCTGGTCCAACTCCGCCTGGACCAAATCCTCCTGGGCCAACTCCACCTGGTCCAACTCCTCCTTGACCAACCCCTCCTGGGCCAACTCCACCCGGTCTGACACCTCCTTGACCAACTCCTCCTGGGCCAGCTCCACCTGGTCCTACTCCTCCTTGACCAACTCCTCCTGGTCCTACTCCTCCTTGACCAAATCCTCCTTGGCCAACTCCGCCTGGTCCAAAACCAGTGCCCACTCCACCTGGTCTCAGTCCTCCTCCTACACCGACACCTCCTTGTCCTGTTCCAAGCCCACTGTAGCCACCTCCTACAAAAAGAGTAGGATGGTGTTTTTTTGTTGTTGTTTTAAAGCTGATTTAGAAACTATTTTTGGTCTAGCTAACCTATCCTACCTGTTTTAGGAGGTTTCACACCTGGAATAAGAAATAAAAGATGATAGTTTACAGTTTATAAAAACAGAAGAATATGGGAAAAATAGAAATGCATAAACAAGCTTAACAGAACCAGGTACTACTCCTACTTCACCACGGCCTGGACCAAAAGTACCTGGCCTAAAGACCCCAGGTCCAACTCCTCCTGGGCCAACTCCTCCCGGGCCAAAACCACCTGGTACGACTCCTCCTGGGCCAACTCCTCCTGGACCAACTCCTCCTGGACCAAAGCCACCTGGTCCAACTCCTCCTGGGCCAACTCCTCCTGGGCCGACTCCTCCTGGGCCGACTCCTCCCGGACCAAAACCACCTGGTCCAACTCCTCCTGGGCCAACTCCTCCTGGGCCAACTCCTCCGGGACCAAAACCACCTGGTCCAACTCCTCCCGGACCAACTCCTCCTGGACCAAAACCACCAGGTCTAACACTTCCTGGTCCTATGCCTCCAGGACCAAATCCTCCGGGTCCTTGTCCACCATATCCTGAGGAATAAGGGGCAAATGAGTTGAAATAAGATTATTATAAAATGTATCAGTCTCCCTTTAATCTCCTCTTTCTTTCAACTTTTCTCCTTTTTCTTGTTTTTCCTTTCCTGTTCTACTTTCCCATTGCAGGGTCCATATAATCTTTAATACCCGCTGCATGAATCATAATAAAGCTATTACATATATAAATCAAGCAGAACAATATGGAGCAAGCCAAGCTGATCCACTTGTGAAAGTTAAATCTGTTGGGCTCTTGTTGGCATCAAGACAATTATTCTTATTGCTACAGACAGGACACTGAGAAAAAAAAATAAAAAGAAATAAGATTATTATTCACGATGCCTTTCTAAGTCATTGTTTAACAAGGAAAATTTAAATGACATACTGTAATACATATGTAAAATAGCCTGGATGAAATTAGTAATACAAGTCCATATTAAGTGTACCTGATGCAACCAATATTCTATTGGTCACATAAGGTGCAATAAATTTTTTTGCAAACCCCAAACCATTTAGAATATTGCCGACATAATGTGCAGTAAGTGATAAACAGTTTTAGGTGTAACTTTATAGACGTGAAGCTTTTGCAAGATACAGTGAAGAGATCATTGGTGACTTTTATTGGAGCAGTTTGACGAATCCATATTACTTATTTTACTTTTAAAAGAGGATACATTCTTCAATGTTGGTTTGGATCTTTAAAGCCTTTGAGACATATACTGTTGATAAGGTCAGATTTCTAATTTACAAGATGAGGTCAATAATTGATTGAACATAATTTCACTTGGTATAGGATACAAATTATATATTGATTTGAGGGATGCCATGATAATTGAAAAAGAAGCAAATCAAAGAGTTACAGCTGAATTTTTCTATCTCAACTTGAATCAGCATAAGGAATTTATTGTTATTAAGATCCAAAAACACTAACCTTTAGTAAATGCTATTTAAATGTCCCATTTTATGAGCTCACGTGTTGGAAACAACAGTTAAAATCCCTTGAAGTGATGAAGGTCCATTATTTTCTTCCCAACGGGTCAACATGAACCACTTAAATGGTCTATTTAAAAGGTAAATGTCAAGGAATGCAGTGAGAATCAATAAAACACAAGAAAAAAACAAACCACCTAGACCAGCACCAAGTCCACCACCCCCACCAGACTGGAAATCTGGACTACCTCCTCCTGCACCAAAGCCTGGTCCAGTTCCAGTACCGCCGGCTCCTGTTCCAGCTCCTGTGCCGGTTCCAGCTCCTCCAGAGGTTGGAACATATACACCTGGTTAAAAACATCAGATGGGGTGAAAAAGTCATTTGTTTCTTTGGCAAACCTACAGCTGTTTCATAGTGTTTTAAAAAATGGTAGATCTTGGCGCATTGATAATAAATAACGCTATTATCTATCCTCTTGTAGAAAGAAGAAACATAATATTTCAGATATTGAGACTTCTTAAAGCAGTTTTTTTTTTTTACATTTCGTTCATGTTTGTTTTTGTAAATGCTGATTTATCTCCAGCTGATAACTAAGGCTGCCTAACCAAAAAGGCATGCATTCTCATAATTCTGCACTCATAATTCTCACAATTTTCTGCACCTATGTTTTATATTTCATCATTCTCTGTTACCAAAAATAGAAACACACAGAGGCAACAGCTATAAAAGGAAAAGTTTGTCAAGAACTCACAGTCCAGATGTAAAAAGAAGTCTGCAGGGATTCTTGAAGAATGTGAGTTAGTGATGTCACAGTAATGCCATGTACATGAACAACACTAAATAACTCTACTGCTCACCAACACCAACTGTGTCTGCAGACTTATCTTAAGTCTGTAGTTACATATGAACACACTCTGGTACAAAGGAAGTATAACATTTTACACCTGTCTGTTTTTTTTTTTTTTGTTTTTTTTTTTCTTATTGGGAATATGGTGTCTCTGGATTCATTTTGAAATCTCATCAATTCAACAGGTAAATTTAGCTTTACTAAACCCTGTTTATAAAATATAACAGTTATGCTCATTATTTAAGCCCGTTTTGTATAGTACACTATTTCTAGTTTTATGTAATGTGCTTTAGACACATTTTTCCGGCCAGTCAATTTCAGGTTTGGATTTTTTTTAAAGGGAACGTCAGAGATGGTTTATTGCAAAAAAAAAAAAATATTTACACTTTTAAATCTTTATACATGGTCACTGAATTTAAACCAGGTGCCATCCAAATGCAGGGATAATATGCAAATCTCTTTATTAACTAAATCCTATGATGTGGCCCTCATTAATCTGACACTCCAAATTAAAATCCAGCTCATCCAGCTGCCATCAGAAGTTATTTCATATATGGGATTTCATTTCCATATAAATGCAGTTGTTTCTTGAAGATCTTGGAGATTTGTCTTGTATGCCCAACCACTTACCAAGAGAAGTGCTGTCTACTCTATGTTTATAGCTTTTATTTGACAGAGGATGTGTTTTTTCACTCTTGCATAAAGGCTAGATTTGTAAAGTAGAAATCTAACGGTTGATGTATCCAGGCCAGCAAAGCTCAGGATCTCTGCAGTTCATGTAGAGTTACTATGGGTCTTCTAAATGCTTCTTTGATAAACACTGACATGTCCAAAGCCTACCAGCTTTGACATGTCATGTCATCATAGAATGAACTCCCTTAGGGCAACTGGCAACACTATACTGTCACAGAATTAAACAGTCTCCTTCAGTCTTTTGGAATCTGAAAAAGGTCACATTCACCTCTCCAGATTAAACCCTACATCAGAGAACTAAATAATTCTCTCATAAGGAAAGTGTTATATCTGTTTTGTTTGCTACAACAAGTCTTAGCTTTGTTAGCTCTCATGTTTAAGGCAAATAAAGCAATGCTCCGGGTCACATAACTCATTCAGTGATGGATCCAACACTAAAATTATCTAGGCGGGTTTTTGAGAATGGCAACTCAATACTTGCCAAGTTCTGTATGTTGATCTGAGAAATCATTTAATATTTATCGAATTAAGCCAATTCAGGGGGTTAAAACATCTAGAGTGCTGCTTTCATTTCATTATTTTAATTATTAGGTGCATCAGGGTAAAGGGGAAATGAAACCTAATGCCAGGCACACGTTCAGATGGGAATCAGTAATCACTTTGTGTTTGTTTATCTTATGAAAGGCAATAATATGTACAAGAGATTTGTATTTAAAAGATGTGATGATGTAAATCAGGTTCTGGGTAGGATTCCTTCTCTAAGGACTTGTGCAGACTGTTTCAGTCTAAGTAAGTAAATTAATCAAATAAATGACTGCAGTTATTCTTAACTAGCAGAAGTTCTCCTCTATGAGATAAGATTGTCTTTATTGATCTCACTGAGGAGAAATTCACTTGTCACATTGACTCAATACACAAAATAAGGTGCCAAAAGGAGGAAAAGGTGCATGGGGTATATACAGTGCTTCCAGTCTCTTATTTAACAGGATTATTGCACAGGTTATTGGAAAAGGTATTAAATAGTTATTGCACATTAGTTATTGCACAAGTTGTTGCAGTTATAGGACCGCATTGTAAAGTCTGATGGCAGCAGGGATGAATAACCTGGAATAATTGCAAACGAATCTGCAAAGTCTTAAGCTCTTAATTGACTAATTGCTAAGGATGTCACACGCATAAGACATTGAAATAGATTAGTGCAATTAAAGGTTTATTTGAACGATACCCTTCTTAAACCTCAGACAGAAAATGCACTGTGTATTTTTAGAATTAAAAACATGCATACAATGTCTTATTCTGTCTTATTTTATTTTGTTTTGACATCCAAAAAAAAGTAAGATTTGAAAATCTTTATTTTTTTAATCACTAAACACTTGGCAGCAAGTTTTTTTTTAATTCTCAACTTATTGTCAAACACTACTTTTTAAAATAAAAAGTTAATAAACCTTAAGCTGAGCCCAACAAAAGTCTGATCCTTGTTTTCACCTGCAAGCTTCTCAAAGACTAGATCATTTAGATAAAGACTCCAATAGTAGTTTTGGTTATTTTCATATTTAATGTAAGTTCTTTAGTCAAAAAATAACTAGTGTTTAGAGTATTTCATAACATATTTAAAGTCTAGAGGATCTCCAATTGAATAAAACAATCTCCTAAACTCTCAGTAAACATGCATCTTATCTACTGACTCTGTTACACAAACTTTCTATGACACCTGACCCACAGATGCTGATCTGCACTTCTCTGCACACATGCATTGAAGGGAGACTCACCTCCTTGCAGCGAGGGTTTCCACAGAGCCAGGAGAAGAACTCCATGCAGGTATGTGGCAGCCGTCCCTCTCGCCATCTCGCTCCAAAATGTCACTCACCTCCCACACGCCCCAGGTTTTATTCCCACTAAGCCTATCACGGCTCACGGCCTTTAGGAAGAAGGAGGGGAAATACAGAGAAAAAAGGCAAAATTATGCAAAGCAGGAGACTGTGTCAATTGGGTACGAAGGAATGAGGAGTGAGATAGAAGGGGAGAAAAGGAGAGAGAGAAAAAGAAATAACACTGCATCACCTTGTTAAACCAAATGGGCTGCTTTAGCCCTCAAATGACTTTACTTTATGAGGTTATGCTGCCAGCAAGAGAGAGAATGCCAGATAAAAAAGCGCTGGAAATGAGAAAACAAGGGAAACAGTGAAAAGAGAATCCATTAATTTGAAAGCAGCTTATTTTGGTTGTTGTTATTTTTCCCTGAATTCCCCAACAAACCAAAAAAAAAAAAACACATTTTCTGTGCTGTTAAAGATTTGGAAATGTTGCTGTGGTGTCAGACAAAAAAAGAACATACAGTAAAAATGAAAAAGTTTGGTTACTCAGCTGAAATGTGTAGCACTCTTATGCTTTGAGAATAACTTATGAAAAGGGATGAGTGGTTCAGCCTGGCAGGCGTCCAAACACCAGACCTTGAAAAAAAACACATCAAAGGTACAGTAATGAAATAATTCAAAGAACTGAAAAAAGTCCCTCTCATGAGCCCTCAGTCTGTCTCTTCCCAATGGGATGCCTTTAAAAGATGATTACCTTATCTTACTTAAGCTACCCTTGTCTGGGATCTTGTTCTATCACTCTTGCTCAATAGATGGTGTAAATCAAGAACTTAACTTTCTGGCTCAGATGCGGACAGAGCCAAAGTCTATGCACTTCCTGCACCCACTCCATCCTATCATCACTGTTAACAGGACACCAAACTGATGTCATTAATCTGCTTGAAGCAGAGACTGACCCAGTTTTCATATAGGACCAATAAATCATGTTTTGATTTAGAGCCATGATCTCAGCCTCAGTGGACCTCCCTCTCATCCTGGTCACTTCCTGCAAACTAATAACCCTCAAGATTACGGCTCAGAAATACCAACAGGATCAACATCATCTTCACAATGTAAGGAGGAGACCCTGAAGTTTCGATCCTTGACAGTTTTCACTCCTCAATTACACCTTTATTAGCAATAGAGAAGAGGATTAATGTTAAGCAGCCCCGGGGTGAGAATGCAGACACAGCTTTTGGTACTTAAGGACCAGATAGCCCAGGCATTCCCAAAGTCGGTCCTCGAGGGCCGCTCTTCTGCAGGTTTTAGAGGTTTCCCTGCTCCAGCTCTGATTTACATTGATAGTTGATTAACGGGCTTTTGCTGAACTGCAATCATTAGAATCAGCTGTGCTAAAGTAGAGAAACCTCTAAAACCTGCAGGACAGCAGGCCTCAAGGACCAACTTTGGGGATGCCTGGGATAGCCCATAAGAACAACCAAATTAACCTATGCTCCTTCAGAACCACCTACTAAATATTTAAAAGACTTGGTTGAAAGACATCCCTCAACCTAGATGAACGCATCTATGGATAGATGGAACAGACAACCAAACTATATTAAATCCCCTGGAAATTACACAAGGGTAAGGAGCTCCAGCATTTTTCCAAGACCAAATCAATAACCACAAGATTTTATAAATCAGAGATTTTGCAATTTTTCAGGGTCTCCTTTCAAAAACCCCTAGGGTAAGCCGCTGAGATCTCTGATCCTTGAAAAGTTTGAGCAGAGATTTTGGACTAATTGGTTCCCACTCCATGCTGGATTTCCCTCAGTCGCCTTCAGCCACCAGTCCGCACCATAATTAACTTCAGCTGCAGCCACTATATCCACCCATTTTCTCGTGATTAGTCCTTGTCACGGTCGCGGTGGGGCTGGTGCCTATCTCTAAAAATGTCCAGAGGACTTTGCCATTGAAATTCACCAGAGCTACAGTATAGTTAAACTGACAATGCCCATGTGCATGGCAGTGGGATGTTGTAATACATTGGGTAAAAGTAAAAAGAAAAGTTTTTTCAGCTTTCCGAGTCATGGTCCTCCACGGACGGGTTTGTCATTGAATTGAAGGGGGAGGATTTGCCATTGAACTTCTGGCTAGAGAAAAAACATGTCACTAATCGGTTACTCTCTGCTTCGCACAGCGCACTGGTCGTCTCCACCATGGATAATAGCGCATTGTGACAAACACCAGATACAGCACTGGGACTTGCTCAACAGTCGATACCGCACCGTGATGTCACAAATCAGTAGGTGGCACTAGTGTTCTTAGACAAACATGGATGCCTCCAGTAAAACACATTCTAATGAAATTACTGTTAATTAAAAACACTGCCGCCGCGGCCTGGCCCCAGATAAGCAAAAGAAAATGGATGGATGGATAAAAACAGTTATCATTTATTGAACAGTATGTAATAATTTCATACTTAAAGTACTTTCAGAAGTTTGTATTCTGAAAGTGAGCGGACTCTTCATTTAATGCCTGCATAGTTCCGGTTGATCTGAACCACTTAATAAAGTAGACACATGGTATGGCGGGTTAGCGAGGCTTCGGACATCATCGATTTTGGCCCTCCCCTAAATGAAGCAAGCCTCAATACACGCTTCGCAGAAACGCCCCCTCCACTACTCGACACACGCCTTGAAGCCTTGACTCATAACATCACTACATGTCTAATTCTCTATGCAGCTTCAAGCTAGGTCAGATCTCCATTGCAGCTTTAGTCCATGTCTTATGCTCTCTGTCATCTATAAATCAAGCCAGGTGCTGCATCTTATACCAGATGAAATCTGGTTCAGACAGCTACTCTGTTTCTATTCTGCTTCTACATGAACTGCCTGATTCAATCCCATCCATCTCCTGCTTTGCCTGCCTGCCCCAGTCTGCTACTATCTCACCCATGACAATACAACTTATGTTTCACTCTATCGGCTTAACATACTGGGGTCTCAGTGGCCGAATCATAACACCAAGTTGTCCTTTCTTGATAATTCGTACCCAGCCTGTAACAGTAATAAACAGTAACAGTAATAGTTGGGTTAGCCACAACAACCTAACCTTGTCCGGAGCATCAAAAATCTCTGTAAATTTCATATTCCTATGGCACTCAGTCTGCATTTCATTATAATAGACTATAAGCTTCTCCTGAGTCCTCAAAGTCTGCCTCTACCACAAAGGACATGTTGACAGAATTTAATAGACCATGTGCTCCTTCCGCTGCTCGACAGCAGCTTCAGTTTGGGTTTGCCCCATCCCCACACACAGGGAGAGATTTTTCCTGCTTTCTTTAGTGAGTTGTATAACAGTTCAGAGTTTCTTCAAGCCAGCTGATAGTTCTTTTGTTCTCAGGAGTTTCATCTTCCAGATGTTTGCCTTTGCAAAATGTATAACTGTCCACGGTTACCCAAAAGACAAGCAAGCTTTAAATTCTTTCTCCTTAGCTTCATGGTTAGTTTGACTCCCAAAGCAAATTAGTCATTTAATTTCCACCTTGAAATGACCTTCATGAAAATCCAAACAAATGAAATATTAGCAAACTGAATTTGAGATCAGCTATGCAGTATTTATACCTCGGTAACCTCCAAACAAGAGAACTCTGATTCACAGATTTCAGTGTTCTATGAAGTGCCGTATGTGTCCAGAAGTCACGGTTGCCATTTAGGATCCCTGGAAACAATCAGTGTTTTTATTAACCAGTGGTTATTGTTAGGGGGTTTTCTCCATGTTTGGGCTGGTCTTGGGTTCTCAGTGCATGAGTCTGGCAGGATCACAGAAACATTTTCTTTTTCTGGAGGTAATGGGCCTGAAAACGGATGAGGTGAATGAGCTAATGACACCTCAACATTTAGAGAAATGGAAGAAGAGATGAACACCTAAATCCTCCTACAGATTCTTTGTGCCTAAATATTCTTTAAGCAGAGCTGGAATGATTTCTTGAGGGTTGTAAAGGATATCTTATTAAAGAAATAAACCCATCAACACCTCGGTAAAACTATTCAATTTCAATACATTCTAAGATTTATGCAAAAATTATGAAACGTGTTCCAGTTTCACTCTGAAAGGTAGAAAATTCAGTTTTTCTCTTTGAAAACTTTGACTCTCCATTCTGTGCTCAGCAGCTTCACTAATTGGTGACTGCGCTGTGTGTTTGTAATTCTGCAAAAGAGTTTATTATAAACAGAAAAAAGTAGGAGCAGTGCTACCTGAGTACCCATAATTGGTCCTAAAGTGTAGTTTTATTGCTACTTCTTCAGACCTGGTACACTTTGTCTTTAGCTTTGATGGAGCTATATAGTTATAAAGTGAACTAATGCTGTAAAAATAATCCAAAATGAAGGGAAAAGAAACATACATGCTAAAATAAAAGCCATATGCATGCTTTATTGGTTACCAGGATACAATTGAGGTCATGACTAAATATAGAATCTATATAAATATAACAAAAAACACAATTTTTATTCAAGTTTACAATGTTAGGCATATTCCTTTTAACTATTGGATATTAAAATGTATATATTTGAGTCCATATTCATAACATTGCATTAATTAAATTTTCTATTTGTGGTTCACTACTAACCTTTATACCTTTTTAATGGGATTCTGAAGTCATCTACTTTGGTCTGAAACCTGAGACTCAGTGAAATGGAAAGCAATGTATGTTCTTCAAACGGGGAAACGCATTAAAGAGGTTGGTTTGTTTCTACACAGAGACTAAACAGGTCTGTTTATACCTTCTCAGTGCAACTTTCCACAACAGTCAGTTCCTAGCGGTGATGTAATGACACTCATACATGCATACAGACAGTAACATTATTCAGAAAGACTTGGAGCTCTGTTTTTGTTTTTCCTGAACAGAACTACACCTCTGTTTGCGTGAGATTTTATCAAATACCAGAGGACTATTTGGTCTAGTGAGATGAAACTTAGCTGTAATTCTGAGTTTAAGGGTCATGTGATGGATGGGGTGTTATCGTACACTGCTGCAAATAGCCTACTCACCAGGGTTAAAAAAAAAGAAAACAGGAATATGGGAGTATTTTGACATTTTAAAGTTGTTCTTGATTTGAACATAACAT